CATCCCTACTCTTACATAAAACCAGATACTGTTCCTAAACTTCAATTAAGCCGTCCTATATATACCTTCTCCCTACCACATCAATTCCACAGTTCCATTTATAGGAGCACTCCCTCGCATAAACTAGCTTGGTTGTGGAAAAGGGAGAGCAAGAAGGTAAAGAAGGGAAAGGGAAAGAGAACCAATAATAGGCTGAGAAAACACCAGAAAAGCTAAGACTTCAGGCTCAGGATTTCCAGTTTTTGAGGAATTTGGAGAAGAAAGACTTCATAGAAAATTAAATAACCAAAAATAGATTAAACAAGAGTGATGATCTCTTGTTCTATGAAATCGCTATGGAAAATAAATATTCTTTGTTTTTCTTCTGTTAATTTTTTTAAAGTAATGCCACAACTCCTCAATTCTTTACATACCATTTATTAACAGTTTCTTCAAGAAGAAAAAGAAGGAAAACACGAGCACAATAAGCACATAAATACTGTTTTTAAAATACATCCCATTTCAGAAATGTTAAATTCAGAAAAGAGAGTGCTGGGAGACAAGCAAGGACTGCCATATAGGATAGAAATGAGAACACAAATCAAAATCCAGGAAATCTATTATCATGACAGCTCTGCTGGATCTTTTGGGAGTTGGTGGTCTCCACAGATGGGTGTCTCTGGATAGGCCAGTGAATTGATGGCCACAATAAGGCATGGAGCTTCTACTCATTTAATGACCACCAGAAAGAAATGGTGAAGGATGGAACCTCTATTCCAAATGAAAATAACTTCTAGTCAAAGAACTGTCTCATCTTTCAGCATACAAAACCATACTATCCACCTTTTCCAAAACATATCCTCAGTGATAGATTTTGATCAGTCACACATACATACATAAACAGATTCAAGAAAGTTCAAAGTTTGGTTATAGAAGAACTGAAAATATTTTCTTTATGGAATTTCATGATGGGGATATTCTTTGTGAGTTACACACACCCAAATATATGATCACCATATGAACCATTCACTCCTATAAAGTTATTCTCTGGGAGGTTCTGTAATCTACACTGAAGGATGAGTTCACTTATATTTCTCAAGAGAGACCCTTGATTGAGAGGTAGAATAGCACTGTGACATTGAGTTATATTCTGATTTAATGTTGATGCACCTTATGGTACACTGTCATGTTTCATTGTAGTATCCAAGATCCCCATAAAGTCTCTCTTTTCTTTTTTTCTTTTAAGTGCATTTTGAGGCTCTTTCTGTAAGTAAAGTGGTAGCTTAAGTAATGTAGCTGCCTAAGTTCACTACACCACTATCTACATTTATTTCAGTAAAGGCACTAGGCCACGTCAGAGCATTAAATGCCCTACCTTCACTGAGTCAAGTGGCTGCTTCTGCAGAGATGTCATTGGAGCTTTTCTGAATAGTACTTCTACTAAGCCTGAAAAGCTTGGGAAAACAGGAATAATGAGGAAAGGAATCAGAGGGAGACCATAAAAGCCCAGTTTATTTCGAGGAAAAAGCAGTACCCATCCCTCCACCATATTTTAAATATCACAATGAACTTAAGTAACAAAATAAATAATTTGCTGGGTTTAAAACACTCTATGTACAACTTTAATGTTTTCCTACCAAGTTCATTATCAAGCTGTTTGCTTTCCCTGGAAGGACTGGAAAGGGGAAAATTTTGAAAACATGCATTTGACATAGAAGCCAATTTCCACTAATGTATTAATCCTGTGGTATATGTAGTCTCCCAAAGCAGATCTGGCTATGCTAATATTCATATATCGGTATCTTTCTTTACAAGAGTAACAACAATTACCCTCCATTACATAATCCATTTATATTTGTAGAGAAAACGTGCATGTGAGAGTCACAACATTTATGACTACAAACTGCTTAGTATTTCTAATAGGACTGATTTTCCCTTCATTTGTATGAAAACAGGTCAAACTGTGGTAAGAGCAATGTAACTAGTGTATAACCCACCATTTGTTTTCTAAAAAGTTAGGCAAAGAGTGTTTTTTCATGCATTCCACTCTGAACAAGCAGAAATAGTGTGATTTCCATCAACTATTACTATCAAGTTTTTTAACACAGAAAGAGTCTGCAGGCATGGTGGTCTTTGTCACTGAATCTGAGAGGTCCCAGGGACCACCAGTTTTCACAGGATCACCAAGGCCCCAAAGACCCCAAACCCACTATTGTGCATGCTCAGTGAAAGGGAAGGAAGTAAGAACTTTGCACTGGTTTGTAGGAAGTCCAAGTGGGTGACAGAGGGAGATGAAAGCTGAGGCAATTGAGCTGCCTACAAAACATTCATCACAAAGATTTCAATGAATGTTTTTTTTTTCCTTGAACTCTTTAGATGCTATCTATAGGTAAGGGGGAGGGAGTTAATTGCAAGAATGCAAGCCTGTCTAGTTTGTAAGAAATGAAAGAATATAAGAACATAAAATTCCTCAAATTTTCCTCACATCTTATTCTGTTCATGAAATTTAGCCAGTGGAAGCAGAATAGAGGACATTTGCACACCCAGACACATGCACACTTATACATAAAGCAAGCCGTTAATGCTGCCAGAGAAGATAATTGATACTGTATGTTTAGGCAAAATGTACTTACATGAAACTCAGACACTAAAGGAAATACACATACGCTCTATCTTTGCTAAGAATTTTTATCTACTATTCAGGAGTTTTCTAATAGGTAACCCTTCATTAAATTTCCTCAAATGGAAAGACAATGTGTGGTTATTACAGAATTAGAGTCAGAATCTGCTACTAAACAATACTTACCACAGATTTACAGATCTGTGGAATGACAGATATACATTATAACCCATTTCAGAATTTTGGTCCCAAAGGTGCCCATGAAATGTTTCAGGTCCAGCTCCATTATTTTCACACATAACCAGGTAATTTATGGGAATGCTTAAATGTCAGTTGGTACTTTCATCATTAACAGACCACTTCCACCTACATTATCCCATCAGAACCTCATGATAGTCCTTTGAGGTTACTAAGAGAGTCAAATAACAGAGCTCTAATCAAAACTTTGATAACGGAAGTGATCAAGTCAGAGGTAAAGAAAATAGAACCAGAAACCAAACTAATGCTAAATCTTACAATATATAGAATGTTTTCTTTGTGCTTTGCCTAGTGCAGTATTCTGGCAATAGCTTTTGTTTGGTGTTGTCACTTAGTTCATCTTCTAGCTCACTAGAACAGAAAAGCTGTTTCTCACCAACCTTTTTTGACAATTTAACTCCAAGGTTAATGTTCCTTCTTCCAGAATACCTCCCCTTAGACAGAGATCACAGAAACATGAGCTGGGTTTCAGCCCACCAGTCCAAAGAAAGAGGGAACTACTAACATCTAGTAAGTCGGCTTCCAGCAATACCACTGTCCTTCATCAACAACACCTCATCCTAAATAAAGTACATCTGGCTTGCTTTTTCTTAATACTCAATGTGCCTTTAGAGCTAGAACTTGAAAGAGGCACAGCCATCCATTCTGCTACAAAAATTCTAGTTTCCCCTGCTTTTTCCTCTTTATCAGTCCTCACTGAAGTGATTTCTTCTACAGAAATGAAATGGCATATTGTAAGAAATGATTATATTTTAAAAATTCTTTTGAACATTTCAATAGTGAGTATTAGAAAGGAAGATGAACCCGGTTCTGATGATGACAGGTGAAAGGCAGGAATTGAGTTAGCATCAATGCATCTATTTTAAGCCACTTTCAGAAAAGAAACATTTAGTTGCACGGATCTGAAATCCCCAAGTATACATGTTTGTTCTAAGAAATAAGAGCAGTTCTTCAAATTAACAATGAAAATATTTAGCCTACAGGAACATTTTGATTGTTTTGACAGAGTGGCTTGAGTGCTATGCTACCTCATTAAACCCAACCAAATAAGGGAAGAAAAGGTTGATGAGGTAACAGCTTAGAAGTGAGGTCACCAGCTAAATCTGACTTCATACTAACAAAAGAAGTTTGACTGATGAAAAGGTGTCCCGGGGTAGAAGTTAACAATTCCTTTGCCTAAATGAGTCTTTCAGGTCAGGAAAGAAAATTTTGTTGGATGGGCTCTTTTAACTTACTCACAGAGCCATGTGACCAACAGCATTTGAAAGTCTATTGTGAAGGGTGTGATGATTAACTGACTGGTCACATCCTAGAAAGGTCACATTAGCAGCCCCTATCAGTGCTTCAAAGCAGAAGCAGTAGAGTGTGAAACCTGAATTCTCATGAGCTCAAAGAATGATTAAACTCAGAAGTGATCCACTGCCATTTATAAATGAAGCCTAAGATTCCTAGCATTATCAGTAACAGGAGAAGACACAAGATAATTGTGGGCAGCAAAAAAAAAAAAAAATTAGGTTTGACTTTGCTATTTTTTACCCCCTCCATCATTCTCCTTCATTTTGGTATTTTAAATAAGCCAAGAAAAGCAATTGAATTAATAGAAATATTAGTTACTAACTGTAAATTTTGGAAGCAAAAGCTATTTTCAAGGGATTGGGAGGCTGCCTGATTATAAATATTTTGAAGAGCACACCATTAGTATTCAAGTCAATCAATAACACAGTTCAGTTACCACTGAGAACAAAGTTATTCACTAGTTTTATTCCCACTGAATTCAGATCCAAAGGTTTGGAGTTGATCATAAGAAGATATGTTGTCTTTTTTTGTATTAAAATATTATTTATAACTGAAGCATTTCTAAAGCAATAATGAGTTGACTCTTTAATTCATTGAGTAGAAAATTAAATATTTACTGACATTTCTTGAAAACTTATAACCAGTCCACAGGAAAGAATATGACTTCATCATGCTGTGTTTTCCTTAACTTGACAGGAAGTCAACTTCAAGCAGATTTACTATGAATCAGGATCTTATTTGAGAAGCACCAAGTGTCCAATAAACTGTGTTGTTTTTTTTTAATTGGGAAAATACTCAAGTTACAGTGACTTATCTTATACTTTGCTTTCTGAAATCCTGCAATCCCATGTGGACTTCTGGTAGAATGAGCAATGCAAAGAGCTGGCTTGGACTTGGAATGTCCTTGTACTTCTGGGGATTGATGGACCTTACAACCACCGTTCTCTCCAGCACCCCAACACCACGAGGCAGATTAGAGGGTCTCCTGTCAAACAAGCCACAGTCACATCAGCGAACCAAGAGGAGCTGGGTTTGGAACCAGTTTTTTGTTCTGGAAGAGTACACTGGGACCGACCCTTTATATGTTGGCAAGGTAAGACATACTCAGTAGAGAGATAAGCTTTCTGCATATCTGATATTACACTGGATATGAATATGAACTGAGTACAAATGCTCATCTAGCCTTTGTCTGAGGCCCAAGAAAAAATTCAACTAGTGGCACATTATTTGACCCATAACTGACATATAGCTTTTGCTTTGTCAGATATGAGTCAGAAAGAGATTTCTCTCCTTGTTCATGCTTCAGTTCAGAGTGGGAAAGCTAGAAGCAGGGTTTTCAAGGAAAAGCCCTTCAGATCCTACAAGAGTCTCTCAAGCCCCAAGAGAGGCAGCAGCAACTTTCTGGGAATAATAGGATGGGGAAGAGAGAAACAAAAATACCAAAGGGAAAGTAGAAGTTTATGCTTTTTTTTTTTTTCTTTTAAGTATGTCCACAGGTATAGCCTGAGTCCCAAATTTAATGGAAAAAAAAAAGAAGAAGAAAACATTCTTCATTTCAGAATTTCCTAGCATGTGCTTTATGATAGTTGGGGATAATCGATGAATATATTTATAAACTTTATTTGAATTCCCTTGATTTATCTATCATCATTTCATTTTTAATCTTGGCTTTCTCCTGTGTTTTCTTTATTTGGATATTAATCAGAGACCATTTTGTGAAAGCAACCAAGTAAGAGAGGAATTAATTAGAAAATAAATAATTCATTTAAATGATAGTACAAAAGCTAAGAGCATGGGTTTCAGATTTAATACATATGGTTCAAAGCCCAGCGTTGTGAGGGACTCTGGACAGGTCACCAAGCCCCATTAGCCCTGCCTCCTCAACTGTCCAGTGGGAAGAATGACAGAATGAGATAACTGCTACTTCTCAAGAGCTATCTACACAGCCCTTTCTACAACTCTCATCCCCTTCTTAACCAAGTTTCCTGGCTCTATCCCCACCACTACACTAAATCTGTGTTTTCATCACTGTTCAAGACCTCTCTACTGCCTGCCTGATAACTTCATTTTATGGAATCTTCTAGTCATAGCCTTGACACTGCTGATCCATCCCTCCTGGACTTAACCCTTATCTCTAAACATCATGATCACTACAATTTCATTTTTCTTCCTTTATTCCTAACCTTTTTTGCTGCCCTTCTCCTTTTCCCTCATCCCAATTATTGCTGGGCTTACCCAATTCACCCTGGACTGTTCTGTATCCAAACTCACTCTCTGGTGGACTCACCTGTGGTTTTAAATACCATCTCTAGGCCAAGAACTACAAACCTCCATCTCTAGCTAAAACCACTCATCTAAGCCTCAGACTTATAGATCCTGTTGCATATATAACACCTGTGCATTTATGACTCACAAGTCTTTCAAATACATCATATCTGATAAGGAAGTCATATTTTTCCTTGCAAATATGGCCCAGCCCAGTCTTCCCTATCTCAGCATTGCCATTACCCTATTCCTATAACCAAAGACCTAATGGACACTCTTCCCTTTCCCTCACCCTGCATTCTCTCCATCTGCAATTCTGTTAGTTATATACCAAAATAACTCCCAAATCTTTTTTCTCTCTCATTTCCACTTCCACCATTACCTCTCACCAGGCAAATACCTAGCTTGCCTCCCAACCAGTCTCCTTATGCCCATCTGCATTTCTTTCTAACATATTCTCCGTATGTGAGCTTTGTAAAAAGTCAATCAGATTATGTCATCCCTCTACTTAAATCTCTTCAATGTCTCCCCATTGGAAGAGAATAAGGATCTACAGCTTACTGGTCAGCCTGCCCTCTAGCATCCAAACGTGTTCTGTGTTATTCTTTTCGGTTCTCGTGTTCCCAAAACTTGCCAAGTGTTTCCTGTACGGTTTCCCGCAATTAAATACCCTTCCCCTGGCTTCTTCCATGGTGGGCTTCTCTTTTTCTTTCAGAGCTATTTTGAATTTAAGCCTTGGCCACTCTCTATGATAGGCTCCTCTATTAGATTCAGCATTATTTGTTTCACAGCTCTAATCATAATCTATAATATTTATTGTTTTATTTCCATGTGTATTGTCCAAAGCCCCTGACTAAACTAGAAGACCAATGAGGACAAAGACATTGCTCCTATTTTATTCCCAAGTCCTAACATGGCACCTGTCACATGGAAGATGAAGATACTTAATGAATTGATCAATGAACAAATTAACCCTTCCTGGTATAGTAAAGATTAAATAAACCAATGCACATAAAGTGCTTGGCATAGTACCTGGGCCAGAACGGGGTTTTAATCATTGTGACCCTGTAGCAGCAATAGTATAGGGACTTCATTATGGGAATTTAGCAGCTGCATAATGCATACCTAACACAGCTACAAGCCCTGTGACCTCAAAGTCCTTCTCTTCTCCTTTACCTTCTTTATCCTTTATGGACAGTTAGTCACCATATCTATCAATACTTCCTTGCCAGTTTCTCTCAGATTCAACTCTTCCTCTCCAGATATGTCATTACCATGATCCTCCCTTCCTCAGGATTAGAGCAACCAGAGAGGTCCCTCCTATCTCTATCTCCAAGAAGCACCCTCTCCTCTTTCTCTCCGCTCTGGCAACTCTCCTACCTGATTAAGAAAGCCCTCTACTTCTTGAATGCTTAGCAGAGTTCCTAGCATTGTGGTTCAAGGGTTCCTCCTCATCATCAGACCCTGTCTCACAATTTCTCAAATCAGGGGCTCATCCTGATGGATCCCAGATGGATCTCCTTATCGGTCTTACTCACAGTGTGTTGGTCCTCAGCCCAGACGTGTCCATGCTTCTGCCCTGGCAAACACATGCTATTAGCACCTCCCTTAATCCACATTCAAATGATCACGTCTTCCCACTACTCAGAATCCCAAAGACCTCTAACTTCTTGATATTTAAAAAAAAGTTCTTCCAAGTCAACATACGTGGCTATTGCTAAAAAAAAGAATACATTTGTACTTGAGTCCTCATACAATTTAGACATCTCTTCCCCCCTTCAAAGGCTAGAAGCGGGGAAGAGATGTCTAAATTGTACTCAATCTTGTCTACGTCCCCTAGACCTAGCACAACTGGCCACAGAAAAGTGCAGAAAGTAGAGGTGCTCACTTGGCAATGGCCTGCCACAGTACTATGAGTCAGTCACATTCACATAAAGCAGATCACTTAATCATTACAACAATGCTGTGAGATAGGTTTAATTAACCTAGGGAACCAGGGTCAAAGAGGTTATGTATGTTCACTGTCCAAAGTTACACTGAAGGTAGCAGCTAAAGCCCAGATTGAAACAGCCATCACTTCTACCCTGACACCATGGGCTTTCCTTTACATTGCTCTGCATGTGTCCAGGCAGTGACTTCAGGTTTAGCTCTGAGGACAGAGACACATAAGGTGGGATCAGGAACCTAAAGGAGTCTGACTGCTTCCTGAACTCTTTATCACTGACACTGGGGAGTATTTAGCTGTGTAGTTTCCTCTAAGACTGTTAGTGCTCGCCCTCTCCTAATTACCTCAACCAGGACACAGGACAGCAACACACCTCCAGTCAGTTGCTCCAGTCAGCACACGAGCAGCTGGGCAAGGCTTTACCCTGCACTGGTGTGTCCCCTCCCCACACAGAAGACACTTTTCACCTCCACTTTCTTTTGAAAGAGAAATCATCCATCTTTCATTCTCTTTACCCCAGAGGCATTCAGTGTGTCACCTTAAGCTCAAGTAGGTCTGTTTAGAAAACCTTCCATAGTATTTGCTTATTTCAGGAAGGAGTATGGCAACAATTATCAGCTGTAATTGGTATAGCCTTATAAAATCTACACAGGGCTTTCCAGGGACGAGGCTATGTGGAGTTAAAGCTAGGTTATATTGACATACGCAAAAATGGGGGTGCAGAGAGGCCTATGCTTGTGCACGAATCCATGGGTCCAAGTCACACCGAGGTTAACAACTACATAGATACTGTTTAACCACAACTATAAATACTTACCTCATTTCTGGAATGCCATGAGGCACTCTGAAAGCTGACAAAAGGGGTGAAAAACACCTCTGCTTTTTGAGATTCTCAAAAACCAAGATTTCTGAGAATCTGCATCAACTTCCCAGCATTCACTGCTTCTCTGGCTGAAGGTCTTACAACACCGAAGACTTATTATAAGTGAGATTTTTACCTGTCTTATTCTGTCTAGGAGATTTTGAGGGGAAAAAAATGTTTTCCCAAAATGTACATAACTATGTGCCGTAGCTGGTGTTCATTCAGTGTTTGTTGGATTAAATATGGGTAAAGATAATACACATTTTTATTACACTGCCAATTTTCTGAGTGACTTAGAGAAAAGCTATTAACATCCCTTCTTTTGCAATTTTCACAACCAACTGTGTATTCTATGGCTGGTAAACCTGACTACTCCATGCGCATTACTGTGTTGGTTTTAAGCTCCTTAGTGTCTCTCAGCTCTGCAGTCACTTTGCCATATTCTACTCTGTGATCTGAGACTGAGACTCTGCAAGCCACTATTTCTCTCCTGCCAACTGGGATGTGAAAGTGGGAGGCCAGGAGGCTAGAGGAGGAAGAAAGGACTTGCTCCTTTACTTGGCCAGTAGTTAGTTCTTGTTTCTGGGCTTTTCCAGACCCTCAGAAATACCAGCACCAGCAACAGCACCCCTTCCGAGGCCTGTGTCCCAGGTCTGCAGGATTTGGCATGTGATGGGGGGTGGGGGAAGCTCAGTGAGAGAGGTTCCTCTAAGCTCCTTAGGCCCCAGTCCCAGGGCAGCAGTCTTTCTTCAGAGGCCTCAGGCCCAGCCTCAACCTCCTCCAAACACTTGGTTACCACAGCCCTAACTCCTGCCCTCTATTCCATCTTCCAGAGGGGCCCTGGCTGGTTCCTGAAAGTTACTGTCCCTCAGACACCACAGGGTCCTCCTCTTGCTTTTTCAGTCCTCCATAATTTTGTTCTCTGACAAGATCCTGAACTGGCACCACTATATTCCTCGGAGATCAATTCTTCATAGCTGCTCCTCTTCCTGTATACATGCGGATTCCTCTTTTCTTTCCCTCCTCCCTTTCTCTTGCAAACCTGTAAACACACACTCAGAAGCCACCTGAGAGAGTCTAGTTCTTTTAAAACAAAGGTAACATGGCTCTACAAAAAGCTTAAGCCCAGACCCTACACCATCCTTTCAATTATTGAGCACTTACTACATGTCAGGGCCCACACCAAGAGGAGGCCACATAGTCCCTATCTTCAAGGAATTCTCAGTCTAGAGAGCTCTTCCATTTCTTTTCCCAATACAGAGGAAAGTAAAGATAACACATCTGAGCTTACACTTGGCTGATGAAGATCACAAGGGCACCTAAGATTTTTTAATATTCATAGGACAAAATGCCTTAAAACACCTCAAAACAGTCCCAGGTGCATTCTTTAAGTCAGCTTCTACTCACTCCCCACAACCAGGTATGCTGTAAATTAACTAACTTCATTATAAGTCCTATACCATGTGACTTAAAATTGCATATATTATATGTAAACACACAAACTTTTTTATTTTCATAATTTAAGAAGCATTCTGAAATCTTTGTTCTTCCCCCAATTCCACTCCTTTGCCAGGAAGCATAGTTCCAAATGGAATGAATTTTCATTTCTCTGTCCCCAGGTCCAAATGAAATGCCTTTCTATTCTACACAATAAGATCTGGCACTTCTGCATTTTTACCTGCATAAATAGAAGATCTGGGTTGTAAAAAAAAAAATAGTTATAATACTGTATGTAGAATGAGGAAATGTGAGAACCTCATATTCTACAAAGAATACTTTTAGTAAAAAAAAACCCACAGCTATTTTTTCAGTCAATTTTATTTTATTTCCCTTCTCTAGATAGGACACAGCCAAGTTCCTCTAGGCAGTGAAGCTGCTGCCTGTGTGACTTAGCCAGGAGTCAATTTGAGATCAACTTAAAGCCAGCCCCAATCTCCAAAGCCACCCGTGTGAGGATGCCGGGAATACATTTCCAGGTGTCTTCTTGGTGTCTGCACTCTTCAATCTTCAGACTAGCAGGGCCCCTCCGATGCTTCAGGCTGCCTTAGCAGTCTTGACCAAAAAAAAAAAAAAAAAACCTGCCATTTGTTTTCCCTTCTCTGCTAAGGAGGCTTGAGGGCAGCCGAGAAGAGCTAGTATGTTAATACCCTTTTCTCTGTGCAGGTGTCATCACAACACATACAGTATTCCTATTATGGGAAAGGCACTGTGCTCAGTGCTTTCCATACATTATTCTCTAATGATCCCAATAACCCTTCAGAGTAAGTATTAATGCTGTTCCTGGATTATAATGTGAGGAAATTAAAGGTTATAGACTACAAATAATTTGTCAAGGGCACTCAGTTTACAAATGACGTAGCCAGTGTTCAGGTCAGATATAGTTGGCTCCCTGCTCTGAACCTGACACTGGCTGGCTGTTTTATAAATTGATCTCATGAACTTCATTGCTGAACTATGCAAAGTACTAATGACACAGGCAACAACAGACTTAGTGGTGACAAAATTTAGCTAATTGTTTATTGACCCCTTTAGAAAGAGACCTTTCTAAAAGACTATAGAGTAACTCAAAATTCTAGGGTTCTCACCACTCGTACATATCAATGCAGAAATGTTTGTAGGCCTGAGATCCAAATAGCACTCCTGGACACCTTTGGGAAGTAATTATAAAAATAATCTGGGAAGAATATAGTTAGATGAGCAGGTAGAAGCATGTCCCTAACTTAGCCATCCACACACAAATTTGAGTGAATCAGTTATGAACCAAGAAGGGATACCATCAAAAGGAAAACATACTAACCAGCAGTTAAATTTCATTTATCACCTGAAACATGAGCAGGAATCATCCTGCTAAATAAAACTACAGAATCGGGGTCACAGAACGGGAGAGGTACAAGAGACCCCAGAAGTCATTTAGGTATTTCCTACACAGTGGCCTTAGCTTTTTAATGAATGAGTTCTCATCAACTTTGCAGCCAACTTGAATTGCCATAAAATTTTAATACTCCAAAAAATTAACTTAGAGCATTTTTAAAATTTTAAGATGTTTAAGCTTATCTGTTTTTTTTGTTTTGTTTTTGTTTTCATTTTTTCTGAAATGTAAAGGTGAGATTCCTCATTATGCTTGCTCTCTCCATGCATCACAGATCTCTATTTTCTAGAGATATTTTCTGTATTTTTCAAGGAGAGTAACTTTAAAATACTAAGTTCAAGATAATATAATGCATCAAAACTTTATTCATTAACCTCATCTACTCTTTGATGAAATCATACTCAAAGCATATTAATTCTTTACAGATAGACTTTTTGTGGTACTGGGGTTTGAGTGTGGGTACAGTAATCATGGTAGTACTCTATCACTGGAGCCATACCTCCAGTCCTAGTCAGACTTTAAAAAAATAAACTTCCAATGTGAAGGGAGGTCATAAATTTTACTGAACTGAAAATCAATTTATTTCCAACACCTGTTCATGTCCATAATGAGACTTGTGGGCTTTTTTTTTCCTCAGCTTCACTCAGATATGGACAGGGGAGATGGATCCATCAAATACATCCTCTCAGGAGAAGGTGCAGGCATCGCATTTACCATTGATGACACCACTGGTGACATCCATGCTATTCAAAGACTCGACCGAGAGGAAAGAGCCCAGTACACTTTAAGGGCTCAAGCCCTGGACAGGAGAACAGGCCGGCCAATGGAGCCAGAGTCAGAGTTCATCATCAAAATACAAGACATCAATGACAATGAGCCCAAGTTCCTAGATGGACCTTACGTTGCCACTGTGCCGGAAATGTCACCAGTGGGTAAGATGGTGATTCACTGGTTTTCACAAACAGCAATTGCTCTATGGGAGATTCTCTTATGTATATGCAGAGAAGGAGAATAGATGCAGAACAGCTCACAAATGACAAACCTGAACCAAAAAGAAACAACAAAGTTCTTTGGCAGGCAGAAAATTACTTAGATCTTTGAATCAGCAGTAGTAAATAATAAGCTTTGTGCAGTTTTTCAGTTGAGTCTTTAAAAACAAAAAAAATAGATGACAGATAGATAGATGTCTGATTCATAAGAAGAAAGATTTTTGACATTATCAGACAGCAAGGAAGGACCCCCAAAGACTGTGTTGTCTTTAATGGCTACTAAGAATTCAAACACAAATAACTATCATCTCTATTAACTAAGTACAAGGTAGGAACTATGACAGCTTACTCTAGAAAGGGGATTCTCCCAGTGGAGCAAATGTAACAACTACCGTGCTTTAAGCTTGACTGTTCAGATCAACTGTCTTTAGCAACTGGACATGAACGTTCTCCACCACTTCTCTTCCCTAGGTACCTCTGTTATCCAGGTGACAGCCACAGATGCCGATGACCCGACCTATGGCAATAGTGCCCGTGTAGTGTACAGCATTCTCCAGGGCCAGCCATACTTTTCTGTGGACTCCAAAACAGGTATCTGATGCAAGAGTCCAGTCAGAGGTGTTTGTTTCACACCATAAGCCTTTGTAACTGCTGCTTGAGACAGACCCAACTCTCCTTTTCAAGGACTCTCCAGGGAGTGTATTAGGCAGAGAAGTCTGTTATAAGCTTTAGGATTAAGAGAGCAAAGGAGCACTGCCCAGTGGGTGAGAGCAGCTCTATGCATAGACAGTGTATAGGGACTGCTTGGAAATGCCAGAGGTTAGCCTGCACCAAAATATCTCCTTGCCAGCCTCCAAAAAGTCCTATGGTGGTATTTATTCCCAGAAACTAGGGTCTTTTATTACTCTAAGAAGATCCAAGAGGATTGACACATTCACCTGAACGCACTCTAAAACTACAATCATGAATTCTGAAACCAGAGAGTACCCTAACCCTAATCCTAATCATCTGAAGCCAGATAGTCCCTTCCCCCCACCCCATTCAGCCCATCCACTTCACAGATAAGGAAACTGGGAAACTGAGAGCTAATGAAGTTAACCTGGTGGTAGATACGTCTACTGACATGTGGCCCAATGTTCTCTCCACAGAACAATCCTATATGGAGCAGAGTACAAGGCCAGAATAATGGCTGCTGGGCAGACAGGTTTCTATGAGGGAGGAGAAAGCTTTGGATTGTGGCCCCAAGAAAGGTGGATCCCAATGGGGAAGCTCTAATAGGGAGGAAGACCGAGAGAACTGAATGCGTAAGGAGCAACGTTGCAGAAAAAGACAGACCAACAGAAGTTTAGAGGTTTTTGCTTCAGTTTGTTTTTGAGAGTTTTGTCTACAGAATCCGTATGTTTTAATCTATGAAAGGTTTCCTTTAATATGCTTGAGTTGGGTAGAATAATAGTTTATCATTATTGTCTTATACTTACTTATGCCAGGCTTTCTCTCTTTTCAAATACTTTCATAAAAATTACTATAGTTGAGCCTCTCAATAATCTTGTGAACTAACAAAATACACAGGAAGTATTATTACTCCCATTTTACATAGGGGAAACCAGAGAGAAGGAGCTTGAGTAAAGAACGTTATAGCCACAGAGGTAAAGTCAACGGTGAACACTCAAAGTCACCTCTTTATTTGAAAGAGAAAAAAATACAACTCTATTATTAGCAATCTGATAGGATTTTTTCTCTCAGAAGTCCTAAAGGTAGCCAGGCATTCAGAAAATTGTATCATAAAAGTAGAAAGTGAGGAAGTGTAAATTAGTAGGAGGAAAGAAAAAAAAGATTGCAGTTACGGACTTCTATAAAACAGAAACTTCAATAATTCTACTAACGGGGAGAGGGAGAATGAAAGCGTGCCCATGGGGAAGAAAAATGCAGGTAGGAAGAGGGTAATGTGTCCTTTATATCCTAAGAAGTATCTTACATTATTTTGACAGCTCCCGGGGGGATGTGTAGTGTTAAGGTCAAAAATACGTGAAAAGATAGTTATTGCTGTGCCCATGAGGCATTTTAAAAAAGAAAAGTGCTACATATTTCACTTTAGAATGTTATTAACTAAATGCAATATATACATTATAGGAGTAAACTAGGGACAGGTGGTTGTTCCCAGTGCATTCCTTTTCCGTGCAAAAGGTCTATTTAACCCAGGATCATGTCATAAACCTGCAGCAAATAAGCCTTTAATCTTTGCTTGGAGTATACAGAAGTCAATTTTTCTGAGTTCAGGGGTTAAAAAGGGGATAAAACATCACCACACATCTTCGGCAGGATCAGAACACATTTCAGTGGATTTGGTTTAGACCCCTCTTCTTAAATGAAACCATATCATCACACTGCTACTTACTGTCTGGGGAAGTTCATCTTTTATGCATGGCTAAGATAAGCAACTCATACAATGTCTTTCATGTCCAAGTTCACGGAATTCACTGAAGCATAGAGGTAAACAACATAACAAAACAGAAGGAATATATAACAAAAGGAAACCAAATCAGAATTCCAGCCCTACTTACAGGTAGTTGGGAGGCAGGAAAAAGCAGTATAGGAGGGAATTATCTAAAAAAGAGTCATTGACACTGCAAGGGCCCTAGGGATTGCAGAGATAAGGAGCTGAAAGACAATTGTGTAAAATCACAGATTTGTAGACATATAAGGCTTTGTTTTCTGGACTCAAAGCCCCAGTTTTTCTTGGTGAGACAGAGTCGTCTGAAATCTCCTTGGACTGCAACTCTCCAAGTCTGTAAGAGAACCACTGCTGCCACCTCCTGTTCTCTTTCAGTAATGTTGCCAAAGGAAGTCAGTCTCAGTCCTTCCTGCTGGGATCAGATTTATTCACCATTTGTTTCAACACAGTGTTATTTGATGGTGAGGTTTTTTCCCTCAATTTTAACAAAACAAGTGACACACATCTCAACTGGCATTTACAATGCACACGGGAAACACCTAGGAATTAATCTTTTGAAAACTGGACTTGTGGTGGTTTTGTTTTTAAAATCAAAGTCATTTCTATCCTACAGGTGTAATTAGAACAGCACTCACAAACATGGACAGAGAAGCCAAAGAATACTATGAAGTGATTATTCAAGCCAAGGACATGGGGGGGCAGCTTGGGGGATTGGCTGGGACCACGACTGTCAACATCACTCTCTCGGATGTCAACGATAACCCACCCCGCTTTCCCCAGAGTGAGTACCTAACCAACCAGAGCACAGATCTCAGGCCAGAGGGACTTGCCTATTACAGAGGTGCAGGAGGGAGGCCAGGTTGAGTGTTGAATTCACTGATCTTGGATTTCTTTCTTATGCTAATTGTGCAATTTTCACACAGCCATTTTCCTTCTGGGCCTCAGCTTCCTATAGCATTAATATGTTTCTCAAACTTATTTTCATTATTTCCTCCATATAGAGCCTTTTTGCTTTTTCTCCTCCTTTATTGCCATACCCACACACCCTGCACAAAATCAAATGCTAAGGAATAAGATTTGTTGGACAGGGTTTTCGTGGGCCACAAATCATTGCCGTAGCTAGGATTTTTTTTCCACCCTCCCCCGCGCCCCCCCACACACAACAAGAACCAATTTTTTCCTCCCTCAGAGATGACTTTGAGGATGTGTTGAAATGCATTCACTGAAAGCCAAAGCTGTAGCTGAACATATCACCCATCTGATCTTTTTTTTTTTTTTTTTGAGGGAGGGAAGTGGGTACTAGGGTTTTCACTTGCTAGGCTAGTGCTCTACCACTTGAGCCATGCCCAGACTCCTTTATTTTTTTTTTTTTTCCAATAGGGTCTCATGCTAACCTTGTTCAAGCTGGCTTTGAACCAAGAGCCTCTTAATGCCCCCTCCTGAGTAGCTGGGATCAGAAAGGTACCACCATGCCTGGCTTGTTCGTAAGATAGGAACTTGCTACCTTTTTGCCATCTTCCTGTCTCTACTTCCCAAATAGCTGGGATTATAGGCCTTCATCATCACACCTGGACCCATCTATCTTAACCAATCAATTCACAAGTAGGTAACAAGTCCTGCTTTGAGTGTGCCAAATATACTCTAAACCCAGCCCTTGCCCTTGTGAAGCTTAAAGTCCATTTGAGGAGTACATATTCTATACATAAGAAAAGTTAATAATGAGTATTTGATATGCCACTTGGAAAGCTCACAAATGGTGTAAGTTAAGAAGGTTACTAAGTTGATTGGTGCTATAGCACAAAACAATATGTGTCATGGAACAGTTCTGGAAATACCTGTGGACTGACTTTTTGTTCACAATAAACTAAGATGAATGAAGGCTTCATAGAAAGATGTCACTTTCACAGAGGGTTGAAGAATCTAAAAGATTTATATAAGCAGAAAAGAAAACATGCCAGAATGAAGAAGCCATTCATTCATTCAAGAAATATTTGTTCCACTGGGAAGAGAAGTCAGGAGATCGTGAGTTTGAGGCCAGCCTGGGCTATATAGAAAGACCCTATATGAGAGAGAGAGAAATTTGTCCCACACACCATTCCAGGTATAAAATACAGAGCAGTGTACCAAAATAAAAAAAAAAGTTCTGCTCTCCACAGCTCATTAGAGTAGAAATGTGTGAAAGATATATATACATATACGTACACACATACACACACACCTTCGGAAATAAAAGTTATTTTATGTTGAGACTCCTAAAATCAAGACGTGCTCTTGGACTAGTGGAATGGCTCAAGTAATAGATTGCCTGCCTAAAAGCATGAAGCCCTGATTCAAACCCCAGTACTGAGGAAAAAAAAAAAAAAGACATGCTGTTTCTATGCATTGTATTTCTAATGGAAGCCATAGAAGAGTTTTCGAGCAAGTGACATAAAGAAAGACTAATTTGGTGGCCATGGGCAAGGATGGGCTGGCAAAAGCAGACCAGAGGCATGGGAGTTGTTAGGAGGCTTTCAGAGGGTCCAGATTGGAGCTAATAAGGACTTAAGTAAATGCAGGAGTAGAGTGAGACAAACAAGAAAGCATGAACTTCTGCCTCTGAATATCTTGGCAGAGGGAACCAAGGCTGAGGGTGGCATCAAAGATGACAACAATGTTTTAAGTCCAGTGACAGGGAGAAGGATTGTATTACTGATAGAAATAGAGGATGCATAATGGAACTAGTGGCAGGGAAGGAAGGAGACAAATTCAGATTTGAATATAAAGTGACAGCAGAACAATCAGGTTGAATGTCCTTAAGGAACATGGAAATACAGAGCTATAGTGGTGGAGCAGTGCCCAGGAATGAAGACGTTGAGTTTGAAAAGCGGATGCCTAAAGGGAGTAAACTGAGAAGTGAGAGCAGCGGAGTGATTCTTGGTGAAAGACTCAGCCAAGAAATGGGATTTAAAAAACTAAAAACAAAAAGAGTCAAGCCAGACTATTTGCTGAGTAATTCACATTTTGAGTCAGTCAGACCTAGTGAACCCTCTATTTTATCCATGTAAATACTGAAAGAGAGCTCAAATATTGACATGCAACTGGTATATACAAAGTTTCCTTGAGCATTCATGAAAAAGAAAGGCAGGATTCTAGGTTAGTGTTTCATGAATAGTGCAGGTAAGCAGGTTACATAGTTTAGTCCTACAGTACAGAACACCTATTCCAGTTTGTGGAATGCCACATGGAATAGATTTTTGGTGCTTTGCTGTTCTTGTGGGTTCCATCTTTGTATTTCATGAATGATTCACATTGTGTACACTGTATAGTGTAGATTCTTGAACATCCTTGACTATTTGACTTTTTAAATGTGATACTAGACAGGTATCTCAGCTGGAGATAGAAGGCATGGAAGAACCAAGTTATTACTTAGCTCAAAGGTATAGGGATTTGGACATATTGTACACAAATTATGCCACTCCAAACACGACAGCTTCACAGTAGCTAATACAATATAAAGAGGACCAGGGCTTTTATCTTGCCCTCCAAAACCAAAATCTTAATGTCATTCTAAAACATACATTTTGAATAGTCTGTTTCAAAGTTCAGTAATAGCAGAAAATGTAGAATTCACTGAAAGTATTAAATATATTTCATGGAAAGCAAAATGGAACAATATGAAGTAATTTAAATCTCTGTGTCTTGAAAGCATTCTTTGAACATTAACTCTGCTTCTAAAATGGGCATTATTTGGGGCTTTTTAAACCAATTTATTTAGCCATTTAAATATTCCCCCTTTATTTGCTAAAATTAAGTTTAGATGATCTCATTATTTAATAACCCTATATTGGATGAACTCTTTTGCCTCATTATTATTCTGATTACTCATTATAGGAACTCCATTTAGTTTTTTTTTTTCACAAATATTACCGTAACTGTGGGATGTTGACAAAATGACACACCTACCCTTTTACATTGAACAAGCTCACTTTTAATTGAACAAAACATAACAGAATATCAAGAGCTCAAGATGTTTATTTCTTTATTTATTAGTATATTGTGGTTGTACCAGGGGTACATTGTAACATTTACAAAAGTGCTTACAGTGTATCTTAGACTCATCTTCCCCATCTGTCTATTTATCCTCCCTCCCCCTTTCTTGGAACAATTTCAGTGGATGTCATTATTCCATTTTCATACATGAATATATAGTACTTCTACCATGTTTGCCCTCCTCCACCCTTTCCTTATGCCCTCCGACAGGTACCAACTTGAGGACATCTTTTACCGTTCTGTCCTTTATTTTAAAAAAAATACTTCGTTTTTCATTATGACATTTCCTTTTATGTGTTACACCCTGAATAGGTTCATCCTCTCCATTATTCTCCTTTCTACCTTAGTCCTTGTTGTGTGTGTGTTACTGGGGCTTGAACTCAGGGCCTACACCTTGAGCCACTCCACCACACCTTTTTTTCTTTTTTTTTGTGTGATAGGTTTTTCGGGATAGGGTCTCATGGACTATTTGCCCAACCTGGCTTCGAACCATGATCCTACTGATCTCTGCTTCTTGAGTAACTAAGATTACAGGCATGAGCCACCGGTGCCTGCCCTTAGTCCTCTTCTTAAAGTGATTTCAACAGGTTCAAGCTATTTATTTCTAGTACAATGCATCACATGTAGAAATTGCATACATATCCCAAACACATAACATACTTTTCTGGTGTGGGGAAAATTATAGGCAGATGTTTGTTTTTCCCAAAAGTATTATAAAAACAAAATGCAATCCATTGATAACTCTGGAAGTAAATGGAAGGAACTGATGAAATCCACATACCCACCAGCTTAATATATTAGAGGTTTCCTGGTTTGTATTATAAGGAACAGACATCACTTCTCCTATGCAAAGGTGGCATGCTGTCTGCCTAGGTGCTGTCATCCTCCCAATCTTTGTGAAACTTGAGCCCTTGCTCCCAGGCTACCCCAGCTTACAATGCATATTAGAATAAAAGAGACCATGCACATTTTCAAAATGCGATTGTATGATTTTCCTTTGTTAGTCAATCTATGATTGTCAAAACAATGCAGAAAATCTTAAGTTGGTAACTTAGCAAAGATCTGACTTAACAGAAATGAAAACGAACTAAATTTACTTGTGAATCAAGACAAGTCAAAAAAGAGAGCATTACCAACTCTGATCTTCTTAAATATGTGGGAACTTTTTGGATTTCTATTCTGGAACAAGAGGACAAGAAGCACCAGGGGTCTGTCCATGAAGCAGCAGCAGAGGATTCCAGTCGCAAGGCTCATTAATGTACCATACAAATACATGGAGCACCAGAGCTTGTGCTCTGTGGCCTCCTCTATACATCACTGTTCTCTATCAGCTCTTGGCAAGTGATCATAGAGGTAAACACTCAGCACATTGGCCAAACCATGAAGAGAAATGTGAGCATTTGAAATATAACTGAATACATGTGGGCTTTATGAGCACAATGCTTTTCTATCTTTCTTAGCAGGAAGTGACATCTGGGGAACTATTTCCATTCATGAGGTAGTACTAAAAGACTGGAAAGCAAGGTAGTTCCCACCACTCTGAAGGTAGAGTGACTGTGACGAGAACCAGTTTTGATTTTATCCTATCCTACTCTTAAGATTACAATCAAGCTATTTTGACTCCTACTGAACATCCAGTATAGTCTATAACCTGTTTGACTATTTGCTTCATCTCTCTGGACCTCAGTTTTTATCTGTAAAACTCAAGCTTCAAATTTGAACCAAGAAAAAGATGTTTTGTATAGCATGCCTAACATGATGTAATAATGATGAGGCACATTTTTGTAGTGACAGATTATCAAGGATGCATGTTCTTGCTTTTCTTCACAGAACATTATCAGATGAGTGTGTTGGAATCAGCTCCAATTAGCTCCACTGTAGGCAGAGTGTTTGCCAAGGACTTGGATGAAGGGATCAATGCAGAGATGAAATACACTATTGTGGACGGAGATGGTGCAGACGCTTTTGATATTAACACAGATCCAAATTTCCAAGTTGGCATCATAACTGTGAAGAAGGTAACCAACTCCTTTTTCCAAGTCATGTTCACGGATGCTTTGTATATGGATTGCTAGTGAGGACTCCTGTACTATAGATAAGTACTGGTTCAAATTTCCAGATAAAAGTTCTTTCCTGTATTTTTTTAAAAATGCCTCTTACTGTTGTGCTAACATGGGAAAACTGGCTATGTTATCATTTTATGGAAAAGGTACCAAGTTATGTTAAAAATATTTTTATAAATATGCCATTTCTCCTACTTAGCCACTCAAAAAACTGTTGTAGCATAATGTTCTAATAATGTTAATGACTAAATCAATATCTGAATTACACATTTTTATAGCAGTATACCATAAATAACAACAAAGCAAGCTATAATACTATTTATGAATCAAGAAATAGCATACAAGAATTTAATTGCTTCTTGAATATCCATAAATGCAAATTAAACTGGAAAAAGTTTTATCAAGCATAGCTTGTGAGTGATTATTATCATTTGAAACTCCTTTGTTTCATGATAAGGTACCAAGTTTACTGAATGTAAACTCTTAATTCTTTCTAAAGCATAAAGCACATATGGATAAACTCAGTTACAGTTGAAAAACATGTAACTTTTTTTTAATTGAACTTTTAACACCCTACAAATAAATAGCTGATGAAATACATTATTTAATGTATTAAATGTATTGTTTCATCTTCCTCTATTTTTAAACCCAAGATATCTTACTTATTTGACAAATATTAAGTGCCTACTATGTGCTAGGTATTGTTGTAGGCATTGACCACAGAGAAAATAAACAACAAAAAAGTTATGTATCGTGGAGTTTACACTCTAGTAAGATGAAAAAGACAATCAAAACAAGCCAATGTATAGAGTTGTGTATTAGAAAATGATAATTGCCATGGAGGGAAGAGCAAAATAGATAAGTGAGATAGGGAGAATGAATCAAATGACTTCAAATTTAAATTGAATTAAATTTTAATTGGGATTGGCCTCACAGAGATGGATATGTAGGTAAAGACTTAAAGTAGTCAGGCACTGTTGGCTCAGACCTGCAATCCTAGCTACTCAGGAGATAGAGATCAGGAGGATCGTGATTCAAAGCCAGCCTGAGCAAACAGTGAGACCCTATCTGAAAAAAACCCATCACAAAAAAGGGCTGGTGGAGGGGCTCAAGGTGTAGGCCCTGAGTTCAAGCCCCAGTACCACAAAAAAAAAAAAAAAAAGACTTAAAGTAAGCAGAGTCATAGCTCACAGCTGGGCAGATTAATTGTGGGAGGTGCCCTATAAATGACTGCTGGTAAGAAATGTCCATGGCCATCCTGGGGGGAAGGGAATGGGCATGAAGGTATTGAAGATTCAGTGTTCTACACAAAAAGACAGCCAGTGCAAAGGCCCTGAGGTAGGACCATGCTTGGTGTGTTTTGACAACAAGGGGGTTTATAAGGCTGAGTAGAGGAAAGACTCTTAGGATATGAGGTCACAAGAGTAACAAAGGCACAAGGTTGTGTAGGTCCTAATAAGAACTTCAGATTTTACTCTTAGTAAACTGGGGAGCTAGAGGATTTTAACAGATGTAACATGACTAAGCTTTAATAATAAAATAATTACACTGTAGTCTATGTTGAGAGTAAAAAGGGTGGGTCAAGGATAGAAACAAGGAGAACATTTAAGAGGATATTGCAATAATCCAGGTTAGAGATGATGGTGGTTTAGCTGGAAACGGAGGTGTGAGAAAAGGTCAGACTCTGTACATCTTTTGAAAGTAGGGCCAACAGGAGTTCCTAAAAGACTGGATGAGGACATAAAAGAAAGAAGAGTCGACTGAGCAACAAGAAGAATGGAATTGCCACAAACTGAGATGAGCAAGTATACAAGTACAACTGGAAGCAGGGTGTGACAAGAACTGGAATTCTTTCCAAATGTGCTACATTTTCAGTGTCTGTTAGACACTCAAGTAGAGATGTATAATGGCTTTGTCAATAGCAGTCAGAATCTGTAGAAGAGATCTGGGATAGAAATATAAATTTGAAGGCCATAAACTTATAGACAGTACCTAAATAAAGCAGGATGAGATTCCAAGGGACTGAGCATTGACAGAACGGGAACAGTGAATTGAGCCCTGAGGCACCCAACATAAAGAGGTCAAAAGAAGAGCAAGGAGACTGAGGAATAACTAGGAAGGCAGGAGGAAAATCAAGGGAGTATGGCATCCTGAAGACATAAAGAAAGTGTGCAAGGTAAGGTAGTGATCACCTGTGACAAATGTTGCTCAAGTTCCAAGAACACTGAAAACTAACCAGAGACTTTAAGAACATGGAAGTCACTGATGACCTTGACAAAAGCAATATCGCCTAACTTAAAATGTTAGTGTGTGCTTATGATAACTTCATTCTATGTTGCTTCACAGAATTGAATTAATGCTGCTTTAAAGGGGAAGAAGGGATGAGTTCACATGTTTGTTATTTACTTAAGATACAATCAAACACAGCAAAGAAACCAAAACATTCAGATTTCACCAACCAGTACACGATGACCTTGACACAGTACAAAGTGCTAAGATTAAATTCTGAATCAGCAAACAAATCTGGATATAATTGAAATACTGTAATTTCTATTTTATTCTTATTCTGTAAGAATACATGTTCTAGAATTATGAAAGGTGACTAAAAATAATACCAATTTGATGTATGACATGATTAAAAACATTCCTGTGTCATGACACAAATAAATAATAATACATTGTTAACTATGACTAGTAACTATAAATATTCAAAGTTTCCAATTATTATTTCTTAAATGCAAAAATTTTATTCAAAAATTAAGTAATCAGAAAAATAGCTTTGGGGATGCTTAACATTTAAATTTTCTTTTATATCTTAACATAACTCTAAATCACAGAACAACACCAATTTATTTTAAATTACCACAATATAACTTAGATCTCATTGTAAGCCATCTGTTTTTTAAAATCTATTAATATTGCAATTCGAGGAACCCCAAAATGTCTTTTTTCCAGCTTCATTCCCTAAAAAGAAACATTAAAGCTTATAGGACAGAACACTCTCTCTCACTGTCATTATCAAAACTATATCTTTGTTTAATTAATGCATACATCAATTCTTTCTAAGGTCATTTTGATTTGTTCTCTGAACTTCTGAGCTGCCAGAAAATGAGATTAAGAAAGAGATCAATAAACTGGGTTAGATGGGCCAGTCACATATAATAATAAATACTTTAGAGTTTATTGACTGATTGTTCAATCCATAGCTCTACAACAACACTCACTCAGATATCTGGTCCACACCCATCTTCCCACCTCATCATTAAGAATGTCACATAAAATTGAAACAAAAGTTTTGCTTTTGATTTATTTCTCTTAGGCCTATTATTTAGCAAGAAAGCACATTCTTTTTCAAAAAGAGAAATTAAGTTGAATTGATAGAATTGGGTCTTCATAAAACCACACTGATTACTACTCAGTTCCCTGAGTCTTTTTAGCTTTTAAGTAATCGATCAATTGATTTTTAGTCTCTTAACTTAAATGCTTGAAATATATAATTCTCAGAATCTTCTTTACTTGGTATGAGTATGATAATGTGTCATTTTCTAGTCTTCAACTTACCTTCTATCTTCCAGCATACAATAAGCAATTGTGGAGAGTTCAAAGATTCTTAGATGGGTCACAAAGAACAAAATTCTATGTTTCACTAAATTTAAGAGGCCATGAATTGTAATTCTATAGCTTAATGCACCTCTTAAAAGTTCTTGCCAATTTAAGTGATACAATGCTTTCTTATTTCTTACTTAAAAAGCTCTTATAGATACAGACATATTTGCTTCACTTAGTACCAGGTTTTATCCCTGCTGGTGTTTCCATGCTATTCTGCTTATACAACTTTTGTTTCAATGCTGAAAAATAATATAATTTTTTAAAACATTTCAGAAGGCAATAAAATTTAACACACTCAGTACAAATAATGCCAAACTCACCTGAAGTACAACACAAATGCCTCTGACCAGGTCTAGTTCACGCAAGCAGTAACTACATCCTTCTACTGAGCCCAAAGCAATTGTAAGTTATCACAAACTGGAGAGTAACCATATTTCCAAAGTATAAAAATATGAAAGAATGTGTACACTTTGGAAATACTGAAACATGGTAACATAAAGTCCATATATATCATCACTCAAACATGTACATTTTAATATAACATGGAGAAACTTTCTGTACTATTCAATATAATAACTTTTTTTGCTACATTGTGATTTAGGCCTGGGGGGTCACACAGGAGAATAATAATCCAACTGAGTCATCACTTTTGCCTTTGAATCTGGGGATAGAACCAACATAGAAAGAGGTATTTGTAACACAAAACAAAAGCTATAATGGAAATACAATAAAATGCTATGTGAACACAAGAGAAAATACTTAATTCTGCTTAAATTAATAATAAAGTCTGCATTACTATTTTGTTATAATTTTCATGATTGGATTTTCAAGATTATAATTTTTGTATGCTATAACAGGAATTTCTTGAATTTGGAATTTGGATTTGTTACTACTATTTGATATATCATTTTGAATATAGAAATAAACAATTATTTAATGTTTAGAAAAATAAAAAATTATTCAAGAAAGAAGAGCAGTTCATATCAAGTATGGGCAATTTAAAGATGTGAATATTTAGGGCATGTTTTCTTTCAGTTTTGAAGGGGAAGTAAGGGAGATAATAATTTTAAATAGTTTTAAAATCATGAAGTGACATATTTAAAAAGAAATGTCAACAATAATTAAAAACCCACTCTAGTCTTTTCAACAGATGGTGTTGGAACAACTGGGTACCATATGCAAAAAGAAAATGAACCTCAATTATCTCTTACAAAAAAAACTCAAAATGGATCATACAACTAAATCACAAAAACCTAAAACTAACATTTCTAAAAGGAAACATAGGAGAAAATCCTTGTGACCCTGATTAGGCAAGAATTTCTTCAATATGACATCAGAATAGCAGTCTACAAAAAAAAAAAGTAATATGACTTCATCAAAATTAAGAGTTTTTCTCTTCAAAAGAGTCTATTAAAAGTATGAAAAGATATATCATAGATTAGGAGGAAATACAAATTGTATGTCTGACAAAGGACTTGACTATAGGATTTATATAAAGGAACTTTTCAAGAAGACATATAAAGATGCATCAGTAGGTAAGAGAAAAGTGCAAGTCAAACCACAAAGAGATACCACTTCATATACTAAGATAGCTAAAATTAAAAACTGACCAAACTAAGTGCTAACAAGGATATAGAGAAACTAAAATTCTCATACATTCCTGATGGAAAACAGAAAATGGCACTGTTACTTTGAAAACTGGTTTTCGATTTTCTCATAAAGTTAAAAAACATATTATCACACAATCCTGAAACCCCACTCCTAGATATTTATCCAAGTAAAATGAAAATTTATGTTCACACAAAAACCTGTGAGTGTTGATAGCAACTTTGTTAATAATTATTAGAAACTGTAAGCAACCCAAACAGACCTCTAGTGGAGAATGGAAACATCAACTACCTATACAATAGAATACTGAAGACAATAAAAGAATAAACTACCTATGCATAAAGCTACATGGATGAATCCCACATGCATCATGCTAAGTGGATAAAAAAGTCACAAAATATGACATCTTGAATGATGCCATTTATATGATATTCTTATAATAAGGACAGAACATGGATCAGGCATCAGGGCCTGAGGAATAGGAAGAGGCTGACCATAAAGGGACACAGGGTGGGAATTCTAAGCACAGAACAGTTCTTATCTTCATTATCAGGTGACACATGACTGCAGATTTGTCAAAATCTACAAAACTTTACACTAAAAAATAAGTTTAATATATATACATTACCCTTGAATTTTAAATGTGGATAGAAAATTCACATATAGAAAAATGACTTAAAACTAAGGGGAAAACAATTAGTTTTGCCTAGCTCAAACCCAGTGTTATCCAGTGTCCACTTTGGGTTATCCATACATAAGGAAAGAGTTTTAAAAGAATAAAATTAGTTATGAAAGAAAAAACGTAGATTTAGAAAGCAAGTACAAATGAATTGGTAGATAAAACTAATTCTTGAAATATGTCATGTGAATAGCAGATTTCCATTTATGCAGCTTTGCCTTTTGATAAGACTGAGGTGGGCTGTGCAAATAGCCTACTTGGTTTCAGTGGAAGTGGCTGAGGATGTGTAAAATAGGGAGCTCACAATGTCTAGCTCTAAATAAATGCAATGTAAGTGGCTGTAACAGCAAGTTGCAAAAAAATACTTTTTGTCAGAATTTGAAAATAACATATTTAGTTAAAGAAAATCCCGCTGATGTTTGTTTTACAAAATCACACACTTGCTTAAATGGGCACATGTCTTTTTCTAACATGCTGTGTCCTAACAGTCAGCATATTTTATAAAAAAAGCACAAGTGAATGTTTAACTAGAAAGATTTAAGTCATTGGCAGAGTAACATGTGACTTTTAAGCTTTAGCAACTGCTTTGTTATCCACCATAATTATTTTGTAAGACTTGCTTTCAATGATTTTTTTTTATCATTGATGTTTTGAGATAATTGTTACTTAAACATTTCTGTCAGCTTTAAGAAAAAAAAATAAAATTATGCTTTAGAAACAGCATTTAAGTTTACTTTCTGCCCTGAATTGCTATATTTATTTTGACATAAAACATTCTGAAGATAGGATAAATCAAAAGAGAGTAGCTGAAAAATTCTAATTTATGAGACAGAATTCTACTAGACAAAACTTAATTCTTGTGGATGAGCCCTGGATGAGAAACTCATACACATGGGTCAGCACTTCAGCCCTGACACTACAATGGCTAACAGAGCCATGTTAGCTTAGTCTACTTATCTGAGCTTTCTGGTGGATAAAATGAGGTGCTGAATTAGGAATTGCAAAGGTACTTTTAGAAGGGATCAGCTTTGATGAAATAAATACACAGACTCTGGTCTAACAAAAGAGCCCCAAGAACCCTTGTGAAGTACTTAGGGATAGTTTCTTAGAAAGAATCACTATTGTCTTTGAATTCAAGAACAGTTTTTTTATTTATGTATTTTTATTTTATTTTTACATTTAATCACATGTGTATACATTGTTTGGACCACCTTCTCCTACCCCAAGAATTTTTTTAAAAGAAAGAAAATAGAAAAGTACAAGCCTCAGTTGCATGTATGTTCTAAAACAGAATATGAATTTGCTCTTCATTGTCCCAACATTTCTCAAATGGGCAAGCACCTTTATTCTGATTTGCCTAGGAGAAAACAGGTCCTCAGGAAATAAAACTTTCCATTTTGAAACTGAGACAGTGCCAAGCAAACTAGCCCAGGACTAAGGAGGTTCCCAGGAACCTCTCTGGAGACCATGCTGATTACAGAGTAGACAAGTTTTAAAGCTGTGCTTGCCTGGCTTTTTTTATCATCCCAAAGGTTTCCTTAACTACCTCTGAAGTTCTGCCATCTTCCTTATCTTCCTTACCCAAGGCTGAATCTGAGATTAAAACCTGGAACTACAGAAAGAAAAATTTCCCTCATTTTTATGTTTACATTTTTTCTGTCAATTTAATGAATTTGAGGCTCTTTCCACTAACCATCTATATTGGATATCCTTTTGACCTCAGACTTATATACTAAGAGCTAATAAGTTTTCCTGTCATTACTTTCCAGCCCCTGAGTTTTGAAAGCAAGAAAAGCTACACCTTAAAGGTGGAGGGAGCCAATCCTCACCTAGAGATGCGTTTTCTGAACCTGGGCCCATTTCAGGACACAACGACAGTGCACATCAGTGTGGAAGATGTGGATGAACCCCCTGTGTTTGAACCTGGTTTTTATTTTGTGGAGGTACCTGAGGATGTGGCAATTGGAACAACCATACAGATCATTTCTGCCAAGGACCCAGATGTGACCAACAACTCAATCAGGTTTTTCCATAGATTTCACCTTTTCCTTATATCCAGGAATTTTCCCTTTTCCTGTATGTAATTTTCTAGCACTTTTCCCTTTGCTTCTTCCTCTTCTATTCCATCTCTGGAAACTCCTTTTTTCTTGAGCCTCTTCTGCTTAAATAACATGGCCTTGTCATGTTATTTGAAAATGAAGTGCCATCATATTTACACTCATTTCATGTAGTACACACACACACACTCACACACACACTCACACATAAATATTCCCTTAGTTCTCAATACCGGCTCCATTGACATTTGGGGCTGTATAACTATATTATTGTGGGAGGATGTCCTGTACATTTCATGATGTGGAGTATTATCACTGGTCTTTACCCACTAAATGCCAGTGACAGCCCCCAAGTTGTAGCAATCTAAAACGTACCAAGATATTGCCAAATGTCCATATCCTATAGAAGTAGCAGACAAAGAAACCACTTCTGATGCCAGTGGCTCTGATGCATGTAGACTATCAGATAGTGCAATATCATTTATCTCTCCAAGGTACATTTTGAAATTAAAGATTCCAACCAAGACATTCAAAAGGGAAGAACTTCTCATACAACTGTGGCCATTTCCCATCAACTCTGGAACTAAAGCACAAACAGCTGGTGGACAGGTTGACACCTCAACCTTCCAGAGCAACTGCCAAGCCCCTGAAGCTTGACACAAAAGACCAGGACTCCAAGGCTATTTGAGACCATCTGTCACATTAGTTGTTAAAAAGCCACACAATAAAATGAATCTAGGACCTTAATACACAGATAATACATTTTAAACACAACCCAATTTATCAAATGCCTTTTCTGTCAACTGGCTATTATCTTCATCTGATGTTGTTTTGTATTAATGAAAATATGCTTTCACAGTTTAACAAGAACAATTCTCTCTAGGGAATAGCTATCCTGGGGGAAAATTTGCTTCCTCTAACCAACTAGTAAACATGTTACATGCTTAGGAATTAAAATGGCTAAATTATTTTATTTAAATTCCTCTATTTTATTTTTTTAAAGATAACTAATCATTTTAGTATGAGTTATAACATCATAAAAATGGTATTTCACCATTAAGCTTTTTAAGTGTAAAACAGAAAAATGAAGCAGAATTCTATTGTAACTTTATATTTTCTGTAGGAATATACTTATTATGATCATTATTTATTATTTATGTATCTATTACCTATAATACATTAAACTATTCATATTAGAGAAGATACTAGGAGTGGGAACTTTAAAGGATAAAATTTTATGAGGGAAACTGATATAAAATAAACACAAGTTTGCAAAACTCAGCTCCCATTTCTAAAACAGTCAGAATATCCTCTGTATACTACCATACCATCTTTCCAGATTCTGACTCTGGACCCTTTGGTAGTACGCACTAGAAACAGTTCTTGTTTGAGTCATAGTACTGCTTAAGAAACAAGCAAAAAAGCCTGAACAGGCAACACACACATAACTAAAGCCATTATTTAAAGATTTATCTAGGGGGTTCATTCCCTAGTACATACCCCAGTGGCTCTACATTCATTGCAAAATGAAGTAGACAGACAAAATAGAGAAACATGCCTGGCAAAAGAAAATGCTGCTTCAGATGGGCCAGTTTACAAACATCAGCTAGCATCAGTGAGGTGAGCAAGGGAATGCATGGCTAGTCCAATAAAACCTAGCCAGGATGAATACATAAGTGAACAAGCCAGAGGCATTAAGCAGAGTCCAACAGGCTATTCTGGGGCAGGACTAACATCATGTAAGACAAACTGTCAAAAACAAGGCTCTAGACCTGGAGGTGACAAAAAAAGAGCTCAAGTACAAGGGTCAAGACAGATTTCCAATTCTCATAACTGAGGATAATTCTCTATTTTGCTTACAAAGAAAGAACAGAGTTCATCCTGCTAGATGTAAGGTCCCTGACTCTTTGTACCATCCCACAGAAGTACAGAATAGTCTCTGGACCCAAGCCAGAACACAGGGGTCCTAGATTCTCAGAAGAAAAAGCATCTATAACGCAAATCTCTGGGTATCATTTACTAAGCCTATTTGGGATTGCTTTCCTCTGTTATCTTTCCCCAAATTGCTCACTTTATCCTTACTTTTGATAAAAAGTTAGCTTGTAATCTTTGTCATATACTATGTGGCTAACTCATAACCTGCATTTTGTTATTAATGAGATTTATATCCCTAAAAACAAAACATAATATTAAATCACTAAAAAATTCCACATCACCTGAAGTTAAAATATTATGGATTAATGACCATTTAACATTTTAAAAAGATAATTAGGACTTTTATAATCTCCTTTCTAGAAAGGTGATGGTGTGTTCAGGTATATAGCTGGTCACCTTCTACCAGTAAACCCCAAAATAATGGCTCCAGATTTAGTGTGAATGTGTATGAAAAAATATAATGTTTAGAGACCCTGAATCTCAATAAATGCTCAATGAATTTCTAGCAAGCAGGATACTGCACCATTTGGCAAACGAAATAGGCATCTGCTGGTGTGGAAACAGCCTGCCCTTCTGTGCCCCCCTGGAGTGTGTGGATTTACTGAGCCTGCACATGACAGAGAATATCCTCATCCGAGCCAACAAGTGGGGAGCTCCACAAACACCAGCAACTGTTTGCTTAGGGCAGTTTTGCATGTGTGGGTCATGCCTATTCTGGTCATAGTAGGTGAGAATATTACAGTTAGAGAAAGGAAAACCACCTACCAAATTCACTAGTGTGTCCCAATTTCCTCATTTTCCATCTGTATCTATACCTTTAATTTGTTCTCCCTCCTCCTGGAAATTGGCCCAGTGCCCCATTCAGAGAAATGAAGGCCATTATTCCCTCAATGCAGGCTTACTTCAGGAAATTGGAGAGAAATTCCACTTGATGAGGGAGGCTTCCTGAGGCAGGCTCCTGCTGTGTCGACCAGGCAGTGCTGTCAGGGATCCTGTTGCTAAGTTATTTCTATCACTCCATTTCCCATACCATCTGTGATATTTGCTACGGTGTTGTAGGTTGCTGGTTCCTCATAGGCTGCTCTCCCCTTGGCATTATGCCTACTGCTTGGAGAACTGCCATCAGGGTTAGGGCTCTGTGGACTAAATGCTGGGCTTTTTCTCATGTGTGAGAAGCAGAAAGTCTGTCATGAGCCAAGCAATATTTTTTTTCTAAAAGAAAATTCAACTCTTAAAATAACTAGTAAACTTTAAAACTAAATCACAAGTCATGCCTAGGGAAAAAATAATGCTCCAGTTCATTTTAAATGAACTTTGTAGATTTTATTATTATAAAAATTCAACTGTTGCTGTTATGGCTTATTTTAAAGAGGTAGAGTTGTTTTCTTAGATCAAGGGGGTGGGGGAGGGATCTAACCAATGTACGATGTAAGGCTATTCAGAACTGTCACCATGAATCCCCTTTGTACAGTAAATACATCCTAATAAAAATAGGAAAAAATCTGTTTCCTTAGAGAATCTCACAATCCATGTGTCAGTAAGGGACCATGGTCCATTGGTTAGGTTAAGAACCTGAAGTCAGACTGCCTGGGCTTGATTACCAGCAGTGTAACCTTGGGCAAGTAACCTACAACCTCAGTTTTCTCATCAGTAACAGATATTATCAGAGTACCTACTTCATAGTGTTATTGTGAAGATTACACGAGTCAATATATGTAGTATGTGTGAAGCAAAGCCAGGCACACAGTAAATGTTCAGTAAATAGGGTCACAGGCGAAAGCATTAGTTGCCTTCATTAAATTTCTTAATACTTAGGAAGTCATAACCGAAATGGTTCCACATCCTTGCTCATCCACGAGCTCTTTAATTCCTAATTCTCTGAACAGCCACTCTGAATTTCTGCAAAAAGATACATGTACAAATATACATATACATACATATATATGCACAAATATATATACATATATGTATATGTGTGTGTATATATAAATGAGGGATAGGCATGTTGGTGTATGTCCATAATCCTAGTTCTCATGAGGTAGAGGCAGGAGGCGGGGGCCAACCTGGGCTACAGAATAAGTTCAAGGCCAGTCTGAACTGCATAGTAAGATTTTGTCTCAAAAAAAAATGAAAATTCCAATCATGAAAGTTTCACATCATTATTTACCCTTTCTGCTTATAATAATCTGGCATGCATATATTCCACTCTATTTCATTTTCTTTCCATGCTAACCATAATCTATCATACTGACTTTGCAACTCACTAATCTGTTTGAAAGTTAATGCACTAAAGAAACTTCTTCCCACCGAAATTGTAATGTCTCCATGTCAACAACTTTAAGATGTAGACAGCAATTGCTGCCAAATTTAATTAGAATTTTGAGCTCACTATATTACCTGGTGTCTATTTAAACAATTTGTAAGAACACAATAGCTATAACTCCTATATAGAGTTATGGTTCAAATCTTAGTTCTGCAAATTACCTGTGCAACTCTATGAAACTGACTTAATTTCTCTAATCCTCAGTTTCCTTACCTGATGACTGGGATAGTAATTTCCCAGAGATATTGTAAAAATTTTAAAAGAAGCTATGTATTAAGTACATGATAAAGTGCCTGATATTCAAATACAGCTATTATGTTTGCTGACCTTTTTAAAACAGGGAAAGGGAAGACGTTGGTCAAACAATACAAAGTTTCAGCTAAACAGGAGGAGTGAATTCTGAGGCTCTATTGTACCCCATGGTGACTATAGCTTGTAATAATGTAGCATATATTTAAAAATCTCTAGAAGCTTGGATTCTAAATGTTCTCACCACAAAGAATTAAGTATGTGAGGTGATGAATATATTAATTAGCCTGATTTACATGCATTGAAACCTCACATCGCAACCTGTAAGTATATAACACTGTCAATTAAAATAAAATAAAAATAACTTTGCTAGCCTTTACCAAAGTATATACAAGGTTCTCAACAATGGTTCGCAATCATGGCTACTTACCAAAATCCTTTATGGAGGATTTCAAACATACTGATACCCAAGTCTCCCTCCATACTTATTGAATCTCACAAAATAGGGAGCAGGTGCAATAATACAGGTTAAAGAACGCAAAGGAATCAGACTGCAAAATCAGATTATAGGAATTACAGATCTTACCCAGTCCCAAGTTCATTAGAGACTCAAAGATATAGACAACAGCAAAATGAGCAAAGCATTCTTTTCTTAGAAAGGTCTGAAACTGTTTGGCACAAGTACCTATAAATATTCTTCTTTCCCTTTATAAAGATGCACATTGGGCCAGATAAAAAATGCAAAGTGGAAGCAATGGGTGAGGTTCATTGTTTGAACAGGAAACACTATTTTTGTTATAGAACATCACCTTATTATATCCTACTAGCTATGTAGATTACATGATATTTTTCAGCAGGCTGTACCCCATAAATGCATAAATTTCAGGCTTATTTACAGCAAACAACCTCTACAGACCTGGTCCATCATGCTAAAAGCATTCTGTAGATAAGGAATCTTCAGCTAGTAAATTCCACTGTTGCATTTTTCAGTAGGTGAGTCATTAGCACATTTACAAAAGACCTGGAGCAAAGCTTTCCTTCCCAACAAGTGATACTAATTACAAGAACAAGAACCACTGAACTATACCTTTTCCTTTTTCCAGTTTCAGATTAGTACTTGAGAATTCATTTGAATTTTGAACAAATATATGTAAAGGTTGATATTCAGGATGTCCCAAAATTCCTAGGGCAGTTTTAAATTTAAATAGCATAAACTAGTCTTTAAATAGACTAACACTGCCCTAAGATTCTTGGCACCCTGTTTATTTCATTTTATAATGAGAAAATTGAAGCAGTAATAGTTTTGGGGTTTTATTTTTTGTTCTTGAACATGATAAAAACACAGTCTTCCAGGTAGCCATAACTCAGTTGAATCAGGTTTCACATGGTATGTACTGTTCTCTCATGTGGTGTGCTGTCTTATGTTTATCCAAATACAAAGGTTGTACATAATCCATGTTTTTGCAGATATTCTATTGACAGAAGCAGTGATCCTGGAAGATTTTTCTATGTTGACATTACAACAGGTGCCCTAATGACTGCAAGACCCCTAGATCGGGAAGAATATTCTTGGCATAATATCACTGTCCTTGCTATGGAAATGAGTAAGTAACATAATAAACTGGTCTCCATATAGTGACACAATGTAAGTGTGCATAAAGTGGAAGTTTCTAGAATTTATAGCAAAAAAAAACAAGAGAAGAAACTGAGATCAGGTTTTATGCAAGTAAGTACATTTAGTTCAAACACTTTTCAAGTATTCATATACTTAATGCCATGCTAGAGATAAAAGCAAACAAAACACATATAAAAGTAGTAAAAGATGCCATTCTCACCCCAAATGGCTATGAAGGGGGAGGTTCCTGCAAAATCTATGAAGTTTTCAATCTTTACAAAGATTGCAAATGCACAAATAGTATAAAATAGTGTTATCATTGAATGAAAAGAAGCATCAATAACATCAATAATATATCACTTTTTTTGTGCGTGTGTAATACTGGGGTTTGAACTCAGAGTCTTATACTTGCTAAGCAGGCACTCTACCACTTGAGCCACCCTCCCAGCCCAACATATCACTTTTACTACACACACATATATATGTCCACAACTATGGGAATTTGAGGCAACAAAAGGCAGACTATTCACATAATATACTTATAAATGGAATGTAAAATTCATAAAAACTAGATTAATATATATGTTATAAACAATAAACAGGGCTAGGGATGTTGGTCAGTGGTACTGCTTGCCTAGCATTCACAAGGCTCTGGGTTTATTTTCCAGCACTGCAAAAAAAAAAACTTGAAACTTAGATTATATACCACTACATTCAAATGGCTTCATAAGGGGGTGGGTGGAGTGGCTCAAGAGGTAAGAACACCTGCCTAGCAAGTATAAAGCCCCTGTGCCACCAAAAAAAAGACAGTCCCAACAAATGGTTTCAAAATATTTACTGACAGTAAAGATTGAGGGAAACAGCAGTCTCTAACCTATTGGCTATATAACTAGGCACAATTTCTAACTCATTTGCTTTATAACTAAGCACAGGAGGGCAATTTGACAATATGTACTAAGATTCGTCAAGGCATTCACTGCTTTCCTCAGGTATTCTACTTCCAGTAATTATCCTAAGGAAATAATTACAGCTATCAGCAAAGATTTATATAACAAAATGTCTACTGCAGTGTTATTTTTAAATGGGAAAAATAGGAATTATATAAATGCCTAATAAATAGATTGACTAAATAAATTATGGTACAATCTACATCAAAAAAAGAACATTACGTAAACATGTTCATGCTTTCAAAGTACATGCAATGATAGGATAATCTTGCCCTAAAATTATTCTGAATCTAATTTTTTAATTTCACTTAACTGAAATTTCTGTGTGTATGTGTGCAGCTCCATATTTTTAACCCATTTAATGTTACTTATATAATGGGTATCTCTGGTAGGATTAAGGATCATATTTATCTTCTTAAATTTTTTCTGGAATTTTTATTTTTTCTTATATAAACAAGTATCTCTGTTATAGTGAAAAAATAAAAGTCAATTACATTAGCACTTTCTGGTAATCAAGGATAGAAGTATTTCAGGGGAAAACACAGAAAAACAGATATTTTTGAGAAAGAAGGAAAACTTGAACCAAAAAAACAAGGCATTCTGGGATTTAGTAAAATTATTTACTAAGAAAAATTTCTATGTCTTATAATGTCTGTTTCATCCTTGGGGTGTGACCAAAACAGAAAAAGACAGAAGGGGCACTACTGGGGCTATGAAATTATCTTTGTGTGGCAGTACCAACTGAAACACAAACCAAAAAGATGTTTCCCCAAAAGTACCTATGCTCCTACCACAACAAAAGGTAGGGATTTGGTTTGAGTTTGATCCTGTAATATCTTTTTAATCCCTACGCAAAAAAAAAAAAAAATGTGCTGTGTTATCTGTATTTCAGTGAATAAGAAATCTTTTATTTTATTTCCTTTATTCATATGTGCATACAATGATTGGGTCATTACTCGCCCCTTCCTCTCGCCCCTTTCCTTCCCACCCCCCCAAGAAACCTTTTTTAAACACATTCAAAGAACTGATTATGCGGCAGGAATAAAGCCAAGTAGTACCACACAGGATGCATCCAATAAGAAATGGGATGTTTTAAACCCCGGAATGGGGAACTGACCTGTCTTTAATTCCAGAACCCAAAGTGTGAGCTAAGCAAGAGTCAAAACCTCTGTTTTGCTTTGTGACACTTGCTTTCCCTCAAGTTTCACCGTACCCCTCACCCACCTGATGTCAAACACACCCCCAACAGACACCTCCTTCTGGTCACATTCTTACTAGGCAATGCACACATCCTATACCTGTGTTACTATTTCCATGTACTTTATAAACCAAATACCTACTTTCAGGAAAGAGCTGCTTTTCTGCACTACTGAACTCTCATCTTTGGTTTTCCTTACATTCTCTTTAGACAATCCCTCCCAGGTGGGAAGTGTTTCCGTCACTATCAAAGTCTTAGATGTGAATGACAATGCTCCAGAGTTCCCCAGATTCTATGAAGCTTTTGTCTGTGAGAATGCCAAAGCTGGACAGGTAAGGAAACCTCTGAGCCAGGCACCTTGGTAAACCTCCCAACTTACAAACACAATTTTCAGATAACCAAATTCACCATCAAAGACATTTCCACTCCAAAAAGTAACAGTTTACAAAACAGAATCCCAATTTCTGTATATCAATTTTCAAGATATACAATTGTCGATCCAAGACAACAATGTGGAGCCTACATCACGTTTTATGTTCTAAACAGTGCTTCAATGGTACTTAATTCACAGGGTAGCCTGTATAAGGCATCTATCGACCTTCGAAATGCAACTATATCATAGCAACTGTCAAAATATGAACTCTGGGTCCAGAAGGAGGGACCATGTAGTTCAGGAAGAAGAGTCTTTTCTTTTCCCAGTTGTGTCATCAATCCCCCAAAAAAGTATACAGTAGGGAAAGCTTATTTTCTGTATCTCCCCATCTCTCTTTCCTAACTTCTGGCAAGGAGAACACTGTTTAGGATCTGCCTGCCCTACTCTCAGAATGCTTCATTACCTCTTTCCCCTTCAGTTAAAACACACTTTCTTAGTGCTGCTCATGTCAGTTAAGTTTTAGGAGGAAAGTAATCTGAAGGAACAAAGTTGTATGTATTTGAAATAACTATTGCTCCTTAAATCTCAGAGACATATTATTTAAAGTTTACTTTCAAACCTAACTGAACATTTCATCAAATTCCAAATGATTTTAATTGAGAAACATCCAAAACTCCATTTGGAGTGGCCACACATTAATTTATGTGTCAAGGCTTATCTATTCTATAACTTGTCCTTCCATGCCCCCATTCTGCTCCTGCTCTTATGAGATGCTTTCCTCCTCTACCTATGACCCAATGGATCCCTTAACAGTCCTGATGTACACACCTGAGTACAGCCTGTGATCCCATGGATTCTGGGGCAAGCAGGTTAGGATCATTTTAATATGAAAGTTACAGGTTTGGGAAGTATACATTTATAAGGTAATTCAGATCTCTGACTGTAACTTTTGGTTTCACTTCTCTCGCTTACTTGGAACAGCTCCCCCAGCATACCTTTCCCATTCTATTGAAAATGAAAAGTGATTCCCATCTCTGATCTAAACTGATCCTACCCACTGATTTTTTTTTTTTTTTATGGCACTGGGGTTTGAACTCAAGAGTCTTGTACTTGCTAGGCAGGCACTCAATCACTTGAGCCACACCCCATCCCTTCATTCACTGATTCTTGAATTTTGGTGCAATGGCCTATTGAGCTCCTAAAAGCTTTTTTTTAAGTTTAGGATAATTCTGCTTCCACATCTACTAAATTTCTAGTCTAGGAAGACCTAAAACATTATGCAGCTAATAAAAATTATAATCAAAACTTTACAGCATAAGAAATGACATATTATTATAAAGAATGGAATTATAAAAATTACATATACATGCTTACAGATCTATAAAATCATGTTTACATGTGAATAAAGATAGGAGGGAAGAAGCAAAAGTAGCATAGTTACTATGCTAAGTAAGGTGTATGAGTTTTGAGTGAAGGACCTTAGGCTTTTAACAATTTTGCTCTGTAATTTTATATATTATATATACATTTTGCTTTATATTAAATACACTATATGGCAAACATTTTATATTAAAAGAAGCTAATTTTAATTAAAAATAAACAGAATGATAAGTAGCATAGTAAAGTAAGCTCCCTCTTCCCTCAAAATGAAGCACTCCATCTTAAAGGGCTCCAAAACAGAAGAGGGTGCACCATGACAAGCTGAAAGCACCTTAACCTCCTCTCCCATCTTGGGGGCCAAGCATAGCCTCCATTTCTAAGGGCATCTCTAAGGGCCCATCATGCAGTGTTTTGAAGGGCAGCTTATCTGTAACTTCAGTTTGGGGACTGAGCTACAAGTCTGTCACATTTGTCATCTGTAACCAAGATACTGAAAATCCTGCCCTTGGATTTGGGTTCTGGGAAACATTTTGAAGTTTTTCAAAAGCACACAGCTCAGGAGGTACTGGTTTACGAACAATCAGGACTCCTTGGTGTACCTGCTCAACACTGTTGTCATCTTCACCTCTACCAAGTGCTTTCCTCTTAGCAAACAGCCATAGAGGAAGACAAATTATGTACTTGGGTCATTCTAAGCATACTGCACAAGCGGGGTTAAGGGAGAGATCTGACCTGCCAAGGTAATGGAGTGCAGAAGGGCAGGTCACTGACCCACTCTTTAAAGCTTCATAACCAACCAGCCAATGTCTTAGGCCTATCACACCAATCAATACATACACAGTTCATAGATCAAGTGTTCTGAAATGACTCTTCTAACTCTGTTTGTCATCTATTTGTAACATTTCTCAAGAAACATGTTACCTCTTTCTATAATGTTTTGCAAGCAAGAAGAAAAGTGCAAGATTTGCCCCTCAGTGGGGATGGGGTAGATGGCACCCTTGTATGCGAACAGCACTGACATGAGACTCGACTATGGACTCCCCTGGCTTTATTACCATTTCATACCCTCTACCTTTAGATTCAACAGTTGAGTTCCCAGAAGACTTACCAAGACAGAATTTGGTGTTAATAAAGGAGGGCTCTTGGGACCTGTGGAAGTGAAGGAAAGTCAGGAGACTGGGCAAGTTGAGAAGTCCAACTCCAATACTTACCCACTAATAGCTTCACAAAGTTCTACAACAATAGTTTTCTGGAATTGAGATGGGACAGCCAGACCTTTATATGAGCACATCAGTCCCTGGGTGTGGGTTCCCCTCAAAGGATGTGGTGACCTTGGATAAAATGACTGTCTGCAACAGAAGCAATCCCTGAAAAGAATGATAAATGAAGGCTGTGGCAACAAGTCCTTTATTGAAGGGACATTGAGCAACATAGTGTGCAGAGGTCCCTTGCTGGAAGTGTCCCTGTTCTTCAGCGTATTGTGAGGCCAGTATTAACCTCCCTTAATTTACAGCCCACATGGACCCTCAAGCTGACCTTTCGTGCTACCATTTGTGAAGAAGCTCAGCCAGCTTTTAACAAGAATGGTAAATGCACAGGGCCAGGCTCAACAGGGGTGGGTGTTATCTATGCTATAGGTTATCAGGAGGGCAAACATAAAAGGAGAACCACCAGTTCAACACATTTCATATATTCCCCAGCCCACCTGCTAATGTTCCAGTTGTCTATGTCACATTGCTTTAATGGATTTTTTTAAAGTAACTAGTAGTAATAAATATTGGGTTTATTAGCATATATTAATTGTACAAAGGAGTTTCTTAGTGATATTTCACATATGCATATAATGTACTTTTCATATTCACCCACTCCATTACTCATTCTTATCCCCTTTTTATATTTTAATGGGCTTCAATATTCTATTTTCATACATGCATATAATATACTTTGATCATACTCACCACCACCCCCCATTGCCCACCTCTTATCTTCCCACTGCCCCCTCCTAACAGTCACTTTTACATGTATGTCTTTTGGGATTTTTTAAGTCTAGATTCTACTTTTGAGAGAAAACATGTGATAACTGCCTTCCTGAATTTGTCTTTATTTCACGTAATATGCTGATCTCCAGTTTCATCCATTTTCCTGCAAATGACATAATTTTGTTCTGATGGACAAATAATATTCCATTGTGTATATGTACCACATTTTCTTTATCTGTTCTTTGGTTGATGGGCACCCAGGCTGATTTCATAGCTTGGCTATTGTGAAGAATGCTGCTATAAACATAGATGTGCAGGTATCTTTTCTTGAATGCTGACTTTCATTCCTTCTGATATATGCCCAGCAGTGATATAGCTAGATCATATGGCAGTCCTACGTTTACTCTTCTGAGGACCCACTATACCTCTATACTAGTATATAGTTCTGAGGACCTAGTATAGAGGCTAGACTAATTCACATTCCCACTATCGGTTCCTTTGTCCCCTGAATCCTTCCCAGCATTTGTTATTTTCTTGAAGACAGCCATTCTGACTGGGGTGAGACAGAATCTCAATGTAATTTTGATTTGCTTTTCCTTTATAGCTAAGGACATTGAACATTTATGTATTTATTGGCCATCTGTCCTTCTTAAGAACTGCCTGTTCAATTTATTTACCCATTGATTAATTCTAATTGTTACTCTGGTGTTTAGTTTTGAGCTCTTTATATATTCTGGATATTAATCCCTTATCTGATGAATAGCTTTCACCTATTCTGTAGGCTGTCTGTTCATTCTGATAACTGTTTCCTTTGCAATGCAGAGCTTTTTAATTAGATGCAATCCCATTCATCAATTCTTGCTCTTATTCCTTGAGCTACTGAAGTCCTGGTCAGGAAGTTGAGTATGCCTGTTTCTTCCTGAAGTAAAGTAGCCCCTTGGTATCTACAGGTAAACAATATAAGGAGACCATGACAGAGGAAAAACTGCACATGCTCAGAATGCATAAAGTTCAGTACTATATTACAGATGCTTCATTCATTTTTACCACACTTATGCTGCCCAACTTCCACTAAAGATGTCGCATTTCAACAAATCTAAATTTTTCACTTCATAACTTAAATTAAGCACATTAACTTTTACCTTGTTTGGGGGCACCATTTGCTTTTGGGGAAGCGTATTTTCACAAAATCAAGGGCAGGGAAACACTCAGCAGATCACACAACATAAACACAACTGACAACAACACAGAATTGACAGAACATCCCTGCATTAAGTGAGCTGCATTATGCATGCACAGGAATTTTTGAAATTTTTAACTTTTTATAAAATTTTTATAGCACTTGGTCCAAACCACATGAAATAAATATGCAAATAAGGCAAGCTTACTGTAGCTTCAAAGTTTCAGGTTTTACATCAAGGTCTTTGATCCATTTTGACTAATTTTTGCACAGTAAGAGAGAGGGATCTAATCTAAGTCCCTCACACTTTTCTTGATACCATTTGTTGAAGAGGCTATCTTTTCTACAAAGTATGTTTGGACACCTTTCTTGAAAATCAAATTGGTCTACATGTCTGTTTTTGTGCCAGTACCATGCTATTTTTGTTACTACAGCTTAATAGTATAATTTAAGGTCTGGTACTGTGATACCTATAGCATTTCTCTTTTTGTTCAGGATTACTTTGGCTATTTGTTGTCTTTTATGACTTGATTCCATATAAATTTTTGGATTAATTTTTATATTTCTGTGAAGAATGGCATTGCAATTTTCAGGATTGCACTGAATCTGCAGATTGCTTTTGATACTATAGCCATTTTCACAAGATCAATCCATTAACATGGGAGATTTCTCAAGCTTCTAAGTGTCTTCTTCAATTTCTTTCCTCAATGTTTTATAGTTTTCATTGTAGAGGTCTTTCATCTCCTTAGTTTAAGTTTATTCCAATGTATTTTTGAGGACATTATGAATGGGATGTTTTCCTGATTTCTTTCTCAACCTGCTCACTATTGGTAGATAGAAAAGCTACTGATTTTTGTGTATTGATTTTGTATTCAGCTACTTTGTCAAAAGTGTTTATCAGATCTCAGAGGGTTTTGTTTGGTTTTGATGGAATCTTTACATCATATTATCTTCAAATAGGAATAATTTTATTCTTCCTTTCCTATTCATATACCTTTTATTGCTTTCTCTTGCCTATTGCTTTGGCCAAGAATTCAAGCACTATATTGAATAAGGAAAGAATAGACATCTGATCTCATTCCTGAATGTAGAGGAAATAGTTTGTTTTTCCCCATTTTGTATGATGTTGTCTGTAAGTTTGTTGGATACAGCCATTATTATGTTGAGGAATGTTCCTTCTAGTCCTAGCTTGTTCTAGGCTTTTATCATGAAGGGATGTCAAATTTTGTCAACACCTTGTTTCTACTGAGATGTCAATTTGCTGTTTTTATGTTTATTTCCTAATCTTCATTTGCTTATTTACTCATCTAGTAAGATTATTTCCCTTATTTTCATAGTTGCATTTGTCCTCCTCTTCTGTGTGTAAGATTCCTTTGGTTATCTTCTGCATTGCTAGCTTAATGGTCATGAATTTCTTTAGTTCTTATTTACCATGGAAAGTTTTTACCTCTTCTGTAATTATGAAAAACAGCTTGCTAGATATAGAGTAATGTAAGTTGGCATTTTCTAAGTTGGTATTTTCTTTCAGGGCTTGAAATACATCATTTCATACCTTCTTTGCTGTTATAGTTTCTATTGGGAAATCTACTGTCATTCTGATGTATGTGCCTCTGTATGTAGCTTGGTGCTTCTCTCTTGCAGCTCTCAATAATCTATTCCTGTAATGTATACTTAATGTTTTAACTATAGTCTGACCTGGAGAGGTTCTGTTTTGTATGTTTTGTGTTCTAAAAGCTTCCTGTGCTGGGCATGGTGGTGCATGCCTGTAACTATGCAGGAGGTGGAGATGTGAGGATCATTGTTCAAGGTCAGTCTTTGCAAAACAGTGAGACCCCCCCATCTCCAAAAAACAAGTGCTGTAGTCATGCCTGTAATCCAAGCTATGTGGGAAGTAGGAGGATCACAGTCCAAGGCTGGCCCTAAGCAGTAAGATAAGACCCAACTGAGAAATAAACTAAAGCAAAATGTCCTGGGGGCATGGTTCAAGTGGTATAGTGTTTTCCTAAGAAGCATGAAGCCCTTAGGTCAAAACTCCAGTACCACCAAAATAATAAAAAGTCTCCTGAACCTGGATGATCAACTCTTATTCCTAAGACTTGAGAAATTTTCTATTATTTTATTGAATGTGTTTTCTATGCCTTGATCTTGCACCTATTTTCCTTTTTCCATGCCTAAGATTTGTAGGTTTGGTCTTTTAATGGTATCCTAGGGATCCTATGTGTTCCATTTCTACTTTTTTTTTCGTTATCACTGCCTGAATGTTCTAATTCATCTACCTTGTCTTCAAGCCAGATATTCTAACTTTTACTTGACTTTTACTTTTACTTTAACTTTTACCAGTCTGTTGGTGAGGCTTTTTTTTTTCTGGGGGTGGGGGGGAAGTCTGCTAGTGAGATTTGAACTTAGAACTTCACACTTGTTAGACAGGCACTCAACCACTTGAGCCACACCTCCAGCCTTATTGGTGAGGCTCTCAACTGAGCTATTTGATTTGCTGAGCATTTCATTGCCAAAATTTTAATGTTTTTTCAAGATTTTTATACCTTTATTGAATTCCTCTTTTATGTCCTGCATTGTCTTCCTTGTTTTACTCATTTATTTGTATTCTCCTTGAATTTCACACAGGTGTTTATTCATGTTCTCTTTAAATTCACTGATTTTTTTTTTTTTGGTGGTGGTACTAGGGTTTAAACTCTAGGCCTTACACTTGCTAAGCAGGTACTCCACCACTTGAGCCACACACCTCTACACACCTCTAGGCTATTTTTGCTTTAATTTCTTTCAGATAGGGTCTCATGCTTTTGCTCAGAGCTGGCCTCAGACTGTGATCCTCCTACTCTGCCTTGCAAGTACCTGGGCATGCACCATCATGCACAACTTGTTTTTTGAAGATAGGGTTTCCTTGCTTTTTTCCCTTTTTTGGCCTTGAACTCTGATCCTCCTATCTCTGGCTCTTGAGTAGCTAGCATTCAGGCATGTAATGATGCCTCTCCACTGGTCATTCTTTTCAATCCTTTGAGATTTCATCCACTTCACTGTCACTAGACTCCATCATTATAGAACTGTTGACTTTTACAGGAGTCATGTTGCCTTTTTCCCCATATTTCTTGTGTTTCTGCATTGAGACTTATGTATCTATGGCCAAGTCATTGGTTTGAGGCTTTAATCACCTATCGTCTTTTCAGTTAAAGTTTTCAATGTTTGGGCAGGACTGGGGAGTGGCAGGATTGAGGTGAAGTTTCTCACCACTGGTCTGGGAATATAACTCAATAGCTAATTCACCCACATGCTAAGGGAGGGTACTAACACCACACAGAAAAAAATCCAACTGTAGTCTCTTGTAGTTCCTAGTGTACAGGATGGTACTGTTATCTGGGCTGACGGCAGGGCCAGACAAGTTATTTGTCCACTTCAAGGCTGTTTTCACTTCAGAAGCTTCCCTATATGTATGAGGAGCTGCTGCTGGCTGTAAGATTTACAGCCTGTGGGCCGAGCAGGTTCCCACTTGCATCACACTTCTCCCTCCACCCCTGATAATTTGTATCCCCAGGGTCAACAAGCCTCCAAGCCTAGGGTGTCTTCCCAAATGCATGGGAGAGAGATGGGAGCAAATAGAGCCCTGAATTCTAACTGGAGACCTAAAGTAATCAGGTAGTATGCCTACTAGTCTCAGTGCTTTCAGATTCTGGCCAGCAGTTAACCACCCTGTGGGAGGGGGTAGGCTGGAGAAACTGTGGGATCTGTGGGATCTGGGCTCAGAGCTCAAAGCACTCCACCAGCTATAGGCTTGGAGCTCTTTTCTACAGTGATCCTCAGGGAATGGTGAGGATCCTCATCAGAGAGGGCAGGACCACTGACAATGCCATCTGTCACTGCCTGAGCAGGTCAATGTCAGACCATCCCCATTCTTCAAAATCCCTCTCATGACATTTTCCACCAAGTCACTGTGGCAGGGTTGCCCCAGGCTCCCTAAGGCTGATACATAAAGAGTACTTACCATCCAAACAAATCCCTGCTATAGGTTTAAGACTTGCAGAAAGTGTGTGCTTATCCTGTGGCTAGGTCTGCCAATCCGTCACCAGGGTCTGACTTACTGTGTTATAGTCACCCTTCCCCTCTCTACAGACAGGGCTGTAGCTGCAGACTATGTCCTACCTCTCTCTGTTGCCTGTTTCTCATGCTTTCCAGCTGTCCTGTCACCTCTTTTATGATTCCTGATGTTCTTCCTCTTCATCCTCAAAATATAATCTTTACTTTGTTACCCTGACTCTTCTTATTCACAGAATTGAAAAATGGAAGAAGCTTCTAGAACACATTCTTGTCCCACATCTTTTTAAATGGCTTTTTCACCATGGTTTTAAGAGCTTTCACAGATACTTATTCTTTTAAAGAACATTGTGGAAAAGATAAAACTTGGCCAGCAGGTTCAAAAGAAAGCCCACCCAACTCTTGCCCCTGCTTTCCCTACCACTAGGCTTTGTACTAACTCTAGTCTATCTTGTTATTGTTTCGTTTTGGTAGAACTGAGGTTTGAACTCAGAGCGTCACACTTTTTTTTTTCTTTTTTTGCACTGACTCTAGTCTATTCCCCACCCTAGGGATCTTGTGCTCTGCAACTTGTCTAGCTTCCCCTCCTGCCAACAAAAATGTGACTGCCTGGGGACCCTTCCCCTCATATCTGCTTTCCACCAAGCTAGCACAACCCTTCCAGGTAGTACTTATTCTCAAAGGTAGCAGCAATTTAACCCTGAAATAGTCAGCCAATGTTAAGTGGATAGAGTGAGAGGAGGATAACCTAGAGGATAAGACCTTGTGGTACACTGGAGTCCTTTTACTCAAAGTATTCTACTAATGCTACCTAAAAATGACTGGTTGTAGTCTGTAGATATGTTATATTGCTGTCTAGCATCTGAGGTACTTAGATTACATTTATCCTTTACCTATTAACACACTCAGGCACAACAATAAACCAAAATTAAATTCTGAATTATGTGATGGCATGAAGACTTTCCAGGTATATATCAGGATGTCCTCACTAGGTAAAACAACCTTCCATTAGATTCAAGTTTGGGATTTCACTAAACACTGACGCTTTCTGCCTCTAACTGACCTGATTTCATGTCTCTCTTTCAGCTGATCCAAACAGTGAGTGCTGTGGACCAAGATGACCCACACAATGGTCAGCATTTCTACTACAGCTTGGCTCCTGATGCTGTGAGCAACCCAAACTTCACTGTAAGGGACAACCAAGGTAATCAAATGGATAGATGGCTATCTGTGCTTTTCTACAGTTTAGGCTGGATGGTTTTGGTTACTATATCATAATGTCAGTTTGCCTATTCTATAACAGAAGAGAGAATATTAATACTAATCTGTAGCCTCTTTAAAGTTTTGTTTCAAAACATCAAAGACAAAGAGTGTTCTCTGCTGACACTAAAACTTGCATTCATCAGTCAGTTGACAAATGTTTATTGATCTTTGCTCTGTGCCACTGTTTAAGACAGAAGCAAAATCCTTCCTTTATTCCTACTCATAACATCCATGTTTACATGTTTGTAAAGATGGGAAAACCTACAAAGATAATAGAAAGTGACCTACAGAAAGAGAAAGCCCTGAGGGAACTTTGTTTTTTTTTTGTTTTTGGTGGTACTGAGGCTTGAATGAATTCGGGGCCTCACTCTTGTTAGGCAGGCACTCTGCCACTTAATCCACTCCACCAGCCTAAGAGAACATTTCTAATCAAAGGAGAAAACAGTGAAGAGCTCTTAGAACAAAAGGGAGGCAAAGGGTAAATAATAAAGACAGCAAAGGGCAAAAAAAGGGACATAAACAGCAGTCTCAGCATTGGAACACCACCCAGGTGGGAGCCCTAATGCAGAAAGTGCTCCTCACTACATCTCTGCTGGAATTAGGATTCTAGGCTCTTCTTCTCCAACAAGCATTCAGATCAGCCAAGGGACTTATAGACCCATCATACTTTTCTTTAGGCACAGATGTGAAAAAGAGGGACTTTTGTTCTCTTGCCAGATGATCTGCTTCAAAGAAATGTCAGAGTAACTGAGAAAATATTTTAAATCTGTCAGATGAACCCTTCTGCTGTTAATTCTGCTACCACGGAGCTGACTTGGAGAGGTCATCACTTCTCTTGGATGTGGTACTCATTTTCATTCCAATTCAAAAATATTGTGACTTAGTAACAATCTATACAAAAGGCAGCAAAAAGTCATAATTAAGCATGCTCTGTCTTAGTCTCAAAGATCAATTATTTGAGATTTAAAGTGATCAAATTCAACTCCACATCATTTTTGTGCTATCAATGTTGAGAATCTCAAATCTGCTTTCTTCTATATGGAAACCATGCTATAATAATTCTGGAAGGAAGGACAATTTGAATCACAACAACAGAAATACTCTAAATATTTGAGATTTTTTTTCTGAGTCAAACTTTTGATTTATCCATCTGTCTGCTTCAAAGGGAAACCTTTCTTTTGAAAACTGATTTCAAAATCAGCCTTCTTGGGACTGGTTTCACACAGTAAACCCTGGGGTGAAGAGGATAACAAATTATATTGTTTCTTCAAATTTTCAACTGTCACTCTATTTCTTCACTCTTATACTTGTCAGAGTCAATACAAAAACAATATGCCACAAAATGCCACAAATTTCTTAGGATGATTTTGGGCACCAATTGATGGAATCAACGTCTTACATCTAAAGATGGGTCATGGAGCAGGACAATAAAAAGAAAAAAAAAAAAAAAAGACTCATCTCTTGGAAAGTTTCCCAAAACAGAAGTTAGATATCATCAACAGAAATCATGAACTCCTGATCTCCTCATAACAATTTATCCCACCAGTATCTTTTATTGAGGCTTATTTTTAAAACCTGACCAATATGTGATATGGTACATCGGCTATTAAGTGGAGACCTCCCTGCCTCATTCATGAAACACGATGTCTATAATGTCCTTTTATGAAAACAGGGCACTATCTCAAGCAAAAACGTCACTTCTACTTTTTAGCCTCAAAATGTACATATCACTTTCCAGTTTCAAAAACATCTTCCCATCTTTGTTTTATTCAACTTTTATAATAAACTCATACAGTCTTAAGGAAGTTCCTAATCCCTCTGATTGTCATTATCCCATTTGACAGATGAGGGAAGTAAAGCAAATAGCCCATGATCAGAGAGTGAGTAAGCATTAAGATTGGGACCAGATGTCAGATCCTGTTGTAGCACACATGCACACATACACCCAAGTGTTTTGTCACCTTAGAAATAATACTCTTTCCAAACAAGTTACAAAAAAATAAAATAAAATAAACCTCATCATATTCAACAAATTTCCAAATGGCTGTAAAACCGGGCCCTTCCCCAGGCTATACTCAGATATGTAAAGCTGGTATTTTTTTCTTTATTCTTAAATAAAATAGCTGTTATGAAAATAGGGAGGAAAAGGAAACATTAAGAGAAAATGTGTTAGAATGGGTTAGATTATATTACAGGAACACATCACAATCTCTGTGGCTTAGCACAACTAAAGTTACTTTCTTGCTCAAATAAAGCCCACCACAGGTCTCCATAAGGCAAGACAGCTGTCTGCCATGTGCAGCTCAGTGTTCCAGGCTGTATGGACCTCCAGCTCACGTGTTCTTTCAATTATCACAGCTATGCAAGAGAGTACAGAGAATCATACACTAACTCTTATGTGCTTCTGCCTAGAAGTTGACACAGTTACTTTTGCTCATATTTCATCAACTAAGCCAAATCTCGTAGATAGGCTCAAATTCAAAAAGGTAGGAAAGCATAATCCTTTATTATGTCCCAAAAGGAAAGGAAAGCCAGAAGTACTGATAATCACTACTCATGTTTATTTTGGTTAGACTGTCAGAGGTTTTTGTAATTTTCTAGACCCAGCCTTGTGAATGTGATATACATCAAACTTTTCCTTGTTGATGGCATTAGCTTCGAAACACACTTCTTGCATGTCCCCCACATCTCTCAAACTGTTCCTCAGCTGAAATGACCAGAACTTTACAACTATCTGCTTTAGAATTCAAAGCCACTCAAGGAAACTTCAGAATATATATTTAAAATTTTTAAATCCTAATTATAATATTAGGCAATTATATAAATATAAATACACACACTTTGTAGAAACATATCTAATAATTTGGAAGCTGGTGACTGCAATTCAGAGGCATAAAAGCAAACAGCAAAAGATGTGAATTCCAACCAAAGTGGCAAAAATAAGCAATCTGCCGCAAGCACATGGTCTCCTCAGCATTCTCTTCCTGGAAGCACAAAGCAGCACTGGGCCCTTGGCAAGCTGAGCAGGAACAAACAGGGCCCACAAGTCGCCAGTGATTGTTCACTTCTGTCAAGCTTTCCCAGGGACATTTTTGTTAGATCTGAAGCCTGACAGTTTGCCCTGGGCACTTTATGTCACAAAGGGTAAGTGGACTCTCAAAAAAGTGTTTCCCTCCCAGGCCTCAGGGTTTTGCCTAACAGCAAGCAAAGATCTTGGTTTCTGAATCCAGGCCAACCTGCTGTGGCTGTAGTTGACCACCACCAGGGAATCTCCTTCCTAAACCCCATTGCTGTCCCCTTACTTTCCTCACTGAAGAAATTAATTCACCTATTGCTTCTTACATTTTCTTCTCTACTTTCATCTTCCCGTTTTCTGTTTTCCTGGAACCCCTTGCTCCTTCAGATAACACTGCCCGGATTCTAACCAGAAGGTCTGGCTTCCGGCAGCAGGAACAGAGTGTCTTCTACCTGCCCATCCTCATCGCAGACAGTGGGCAGCCAGCGCTGAGCAGCACAGGCACGCTGACCATCCAGGTGTGCAGCTGTGATGATGACGGTCATGTCATGTCCTGCAGCCCTGAGGCCTACATGCTCCCAGTCAGCTTGAGCCGGGGTGCCCTCATCGCCATCCTGGCCTGCATCTTTGTCCTCTTAGGTAAGACAGTAACCACCACCTCCCAACTCAGTTATCCAGAACTGGTTTTCCACTCCATGCTTACTGAAAAAGGTGGTAGAGTAGAGCTCAGGAGAAAAGTACAGAAATTGAAGACATCCCTTCCTTCAAGGCCTCTTTGGTACATATATTTATAAAGCATTTACTAGAGGCCAGAACAAGCTAGGTCCTTGGTTTAATAAGGCAGACATGTCCCCATCTTCACAGTTTACTTCAAAATGAAGCAAATTCATTTTGACATCATAGAGCCAAAATCACAATTGTGCAGAAGATATGATAATCACCTCTTCTAACTCCTTCATTTCAGATAAGTAGTAGCTAAATCACAGAAAGGTAAGTGACAGCCCAAAGTCAAATGTCCGGCAGAACTGGGACTGAAATGCAAGTAGGCCAGACACTGGACACCCTATCTAGCGGCACTGCTCTTGCTCCTGGGTATTCATGCCCAGTTTCTGCAGGTAGTATTACAGAAAAGGAAAGAACAGAGAATGTTTCCTGGAAGGATAGGGGAAAGGGTAAGTGCCATTCCAAATAGGGTGGTCAGCAAAGCCCTCATCAAAAAGGAGAACTCTGAGCACAGATATGAAGGAAGGGGTGGAGTGGACCTCGGATTTCTGGGGAATAAGCTGGAGGTATCAGCACCCCTCCTGGGCAACTGTGGCCACCAAACAATGAGCTGTGACTAAACAGGGCCAGTTTGCCTCTGCTGGCAAAAAATGAATAAAAGAGGTAACAACAGGCTAGTCGTACTTCAAGGCAGTCACCCAACTCCTTTGTACATAAAGCCATCTGTGCAAATGTTTTCTAACTCCACGCTCAGAAACAAATGCCTAAATCATCTCTTGGATCCTCTTCTGATTAAATTAAGTCATAGCACATATATCTTGCTTAGAGAAAAGCACATGTAATAGACAATTATTATTATCCAATAAAAGAAATCCCAGCTTTCTATGGAGGAAAAATACAGCACTGGGAATTTAAATTAAAACAACTTGCAGATATCCATGTACATCCTTGGTATCTAGGTCAGCTATACACCAAGAGACTGAATCAGACCAAAGAAATTGTGGAACAGTGATCACTACAGAGACTAAGAAGGACAGGATGGAAAGAAGTTCAATAAGGGACATCAAAAAAGTTAGAAGGCCTGGAGTGGAGGTGCATGCTTGTAATATCCCAACTGGGAGTGGTAGCATAAGAATCGTAAGTTCAAGGCCAGCCTGGGCTACGTAGCAAGTTCTAGGCCACGTGAGGTAGAAGACTTGTCTTAAAAAAAAAAAACTTAGAATGAAAGAATCATTCTTTCATTCTGGTCTGGTTCTTCAGCATAGTTAGGGTAACTATTAGTTAAAACAAGCTATGATGTATTTCGAAATGACTATAAAGTAAGAATGCAAAGTTTCCAACACATTAAGATGCTTAATGTTTGAAGAGTGGGAATGCTTGTTATCTTAATTTGATTATTACACATTATATTGAGTTACTGTAATATAAGACATAAAGTGGTACAGATATTATAATAAAAATTAAATTAAAAAAAAGAAATTGTTCACTGTATAAATTGTTCACTGTCAGCTTTCAATCGACTTTCTAGGTAGGCCTCTCATTTTTAAAATGCAACATGCTAGGTTTTACATGGAGAGAGAAGTAGCATAAATAACTAATATTTCTAAGTCCTTGGATATCTGTATCAGAGAGAATTGTTACCATTTCTAGTCTATATTGAAAATTAAAATCTGCCTGCAATTTCTGGAGTATCCATAAGGTGGCATTGGGAGTCCTTGAGTGCAGAACAGGAAAACCTGCATTTTGTCTTTGAAGAAACTTGCTCCTAGGAGAAATTTCCAACCGGCTGTCCTTACTTCTATCTTTGGAAAATGTAAGTTCACCCTGGCCTACAAAGAGCCATCATGACAGAAGGATTGATTTAAAGAGACTGGTTCAGAGGAGCGCCCAAGTTAGCAGTGATATGGGAGAGTTATTTTATTTTGTCCCTCCCAAACTCAGTGTCTTCTTTTTTGAATTGTACAGAGTAAACAGTTTTCAGGAGCTAAAATAAGCAAAGTTACCATAAAAATCTCATAGTTTTATGCATTCTTATTTCTAAGAGAGCACATCCCATATAAAACATAATTCATAAAACTGAATTATGATTTCATAAAACTGAATTAAGATTTGAGTGGCAGGTGGTTTATCAACAAAATACTGTATTATGTGGACAATTAAACAAACATGTTGATTTTGATAGTTTTTGCTTTAGAGGACTTTTTTTGTGTCTTGAATATATATCCACTTCCTAGGGAAATCTCATAAGAACTATACACTGGACCCTGAGTATCAAAAGAATAAGCCTCCCTAGAATTGATGCTCTTCCGTCAAAAAACCAGGGCAGCTTTTTAGCTGAATAAAGCCATTTTCCCGAAATCTGATTTTCTGAGAATACAAAACAATGTAACTAGCAATCTTTCTAAATCCCCATGGCCATCAGAATTACCTCCATCAGATACTCAAAGACTGCTTTTTTTCTTCTCTTTAAAGAGACAGGGTCAAACTCCTGGGTTCAACTTAGCCTCCAAAATTGCTGAGATTACAGGCATGCACAACTATTCCAGGCTACCCAAAGACTTTTCTACTTTTGTTTCCTACTTCCAAAGTACCATCACTACTACTCCAAGGTCACCTGTATGACTCCCTTCCCAGTCTTCCTAGCAGAATTCACTGGCCATTCCCTGTACTCTTATTGACAAACTTGTGACCCAATGATAGCCCTATCACTGTCTGATCTGTATTAATCATCAGCATCTTTAATCTCCTTAGACTGCAAATTCATAAAAGTTTATGCTATAATCAATGTTGTTTATTCATTGCTTACCATAAAACATAAAAAACTTTGGTTTATAGAACGTCACAAACACAGTATGTTCACTTAGAATACATTTTTCACAATCCAGCCTTTAACATTCAAGCCTCCATTTCCTTAAAGTCCTATTAGTTTCTTTTCCTGAAATCCCACAGTTCTAGTCCATGCCTCATAGTTTCTCAAATAGGGAAAATATAGAAGAGTGTATCGTTATTTTCTGTGTGTGCATTTTGTCATTAAAGGTATTCACAAAAACATTAGGTATTAACATTAATTGCAATTTACTTAAAAGGCTCATCCTACATTCAAATACTTTAAAAATCATTGCTGTGAGTTGTATTAGTCTGTAATCTCTTACTGCACTATACTCCATTTTCCCCCTTGGGTAAACTGGGGTCTTATTTTGCAGTGCTGTCAAACTGTCACTGTTCACCAGCTGTAACAAAAGCACACCAGAAAAAAAAAATCAATACCAGCTAAAACCTCAACACACTTCCTAGGAAACATTTTCAGTCACAGAGATAAACAGCTCAATGGGATTATCTCTATCTCTCCTTTAAGCCCCAGTGAACATATCCTGGGAAAAGTGCATTTGTTGGGATAAAATTTTATCCAAACCTACAAGGGCACATCTAACAGTGTGGTGTTTCTTTGATAACTGATGAATTATCTAAAATGTCACCGCTTATTCTCTGCCTTCATGAAAACCACTGAATACAGAATGCCACAACCACTTCTCTAATGAAAGGCTTTTCTGAGGAATCGGACGTTACTGGACCACAGGGATCATTTATGCTTTTTTTTTTTTTTTTTGGAGGAGGTACAAAAAGACAATGACTTTAGCACATCTTTAGTTTCAGTGTCCATGTGCATATTCATTAACATGTGATTGCATTTATAGAGAAGAATCTGGTAAGATGCTAATAATGTAAGAAAGCAGATTCCACTTACGCAGTAAGATTTTTGAATTATAAGAGAAATATGTATTCGTTATTATATAAACAGAGTGCATGATCTGATCCTTTGCTTATCTTACTCCACGGCAGGCCCTAGTGTTTTGTGCTTTGTGAAGATCACACTAGGTCGTTGGTTGTATAGGCATACACACACACACACACACACACACACACACACACACACACACACACAAAATCCAAGCAGCAAGCTGATGTAAAAAGACTTTATATGCAACTTCCAACTGAACCAAGTGAAGAAATACAAGACTTCATTTGCTCATAAGCTCTCAAATGTAGCCTCGGTTAACTGCCTGAGGTTTAAAGGATCCACATGCACTGAGTTCATTACTGGGTGGATGCTTCCTGTACCCGTGGTTAATCGAGAGTATTTCTAGTGCTTGATGCTGGTGGCTCACGCCCATAATCCTAACTACTCGGGAGGCAAAGATCAGGAGGATTGAGGTTTGAGGTCAACCCTGGGGAAAACAGTTCCCAAGACCCTATCTCAAAAAAACCCAAAACAAAAAAGGGCTGGCGGGGTAGATCGAGCCTAGCAGGTGTGAGGCCCTGAGTTCAAACCCCATCCTGCCAAAAAAAAAGAGTATTTCTCGTGACAACACCCCCCCAGGCGTCGAGCTAAACACCCTGCTTTGCCTGTGCCCCCGCAGTGCTGGTGCTGCTCATTTTGTCCATGAGGCGACACCGGAAGCAACCGTACATCATTGACGACGAGGAGAATATCCACGAGAACATCGTCCGCTACGACGACGAGGGCGGCGGCGAGGAGGACACGGAGGCCTTCGACATCGCGGCCATGTGGAACCCGCGGGAGGCGCAGGCGGGCGCCGCCCCCAAGACGCGGCAGGACATGCTGCCGAGATTGAGAGCCTCTCGCGCTACGTGCCCCAGACGTGCGCCGTCAACAGCACGGTCCACAGCTACGTGCTGGCCAAGCTCTACGAGGCCGACATGGACCTGTGGGCCCCACCCTTCGACTCCCTCCAGACGTACATGTTCGAGGGGGACGGCTCTGTGGCTGGCTCGCTGAGCTCCCTGCAGTCAGCCACCTCGGACTCGGAGCAGAGCTTCGACTTCCTGACGGACTGGGGGCCCCGGTTCCGGAAGCTGGCGGAGCTCTACGGGGCTTCCGAGGGGCCCGCACCGCTGTGGTGACGTGATGACGTACGACGGAAGCCGAGGGGCGGGCTCGCGTCCAAATCTGGCCATTCTTGGAGTGCGCTTCGCAGACGGACAGGTGCAGCAGATCTCGCGAGCAACACTGTGCTTGAGAGTGAGCGTGGGGCTGAGCGGAGCCAACCGAGCTCTCTCTGGATCAGCTTTACTTGGTTAGAGGAAGTTAAATAATCAAAAGGAAACACAGGAAACGGAGGGCAGGATCTCCGATTACCTTTTTCTTTTCTTTCAAATTTTTCTGACACTGTATTATTCAAAGGCTTAGACTTTAAGGTGTTAGGCAACAGCTTTCAGGGTGTTTGTTTTTGTCTTTGTTTTTTGTTTTTATTTTACCATTCACCAAGGTCTTTGTCAGTTTGCCACCATACAAAGGCTCTGGTCTTCAACACAGATATGGCAAGTGAAACACAGAAAGTTCTACTTGTATCTGCTTTTTTGTCTCTTTGTTTTGGGTTTCCTGGTTTCGATTTGTTTTAATCTTATTCTCCATTTAAAAGTTTTGCTGGATCATCAAACCATAGAAACCAACCTACACAAAAGAACACTGGAAAATTGTTCCTTGGTGAAATTAACCTACTTGTTCTGTGATGGATGGGATTTCTTTTAACCCTTTTGAGACAAGGTTAAGACTGGATCAGCCTTGCATGGGGGATGGGTGGGAGGGTGGGAGAAGGAAGAGACATTGGCTTTGTGCTCAAGTTTAATAGCTGAACCAAGAGTCGTTGGCATTACAACTAATCCAGCACCATCAAGTTAGAGTGCTTCTGTTCTTCTCTCAGCTCTTAACTAGGCCCCTGCAAAAGTGTTCAGAATGAAACCAGAAAATCTGCCTCCTTTGCACTGTAGATGTCTCTTCCGTGTGCCAAATGTGGAGATTAGATGCTACAAATGAAAGCCAAATAAAAAGAAGTATCTGATAAAAGCATGGGTTAGAGGGCTTTCCTAATCTGTGTAAGGTCAATCCAAGGGATGTTTACATACTGTAGATAACCTACTTGAAAAAAAATCAGTATTATAGAGAATAAATGGATGTAAGAAAATTACATGTAAAAGTTTTGTATATTTGTTAATAATTTTGGTAATAAATATGATGTACTGCATCTCAGTACCTTAGCACTTCTTTTAATAAAAGTTAAACAGAAGGGAAAGTCTATTGCAAATTTGTTTAATTGCTGAGCAGGTAGATAACTTTGTGATCCTGATTTAGAGTCATGTTCCTGGGTCTGGAACTAATTCATAAGACAGAAGCAATGTCAAAGAAGTGTGAGGCTGTGCATTCTATTTTGGTCACTGAACAGGTGAATATTATGGTTCAAACTGTTAAGCTTTTAATGAACACTCATCATTCTTCCATCTCTTAAAGGAGAAAAGAGTCATTTTGTAATATCAATAATACAATAATGAATTTAGCTCATATTTCTCATCTTGTGAGATATTACAGAAAACCACCAAGAAAATACTTTCACTCCTGCTTTATTGCCAAATCAAATATGAACAACTCATTCACTCTAGATAAGCTCCCAGAAGTTAGGGACCATATTCTATTCATCTTTTCCTACAGTAGTTAACATAGTCCTTTGCATGCAGAAGATGCTCAACAAATGTTTGCTGTGTACTTAATGGAAGGTATCTCTTTCTTTGACATCCTATTACTAAAGAATATCCTACACAATTATACTCACAATTGACAGACTGAGAACAAAATAGTTTTCTGATAATCTGGATTATAGCAATGGCACTGAAATTTTAATGTGTATCAGGATCAACTAGAGAACCTGTTAAACTACCTCACCCTCATAACTTCTGATTTAATAATCTAAGACAATTTGCCTTTCTAACAAGTTCCCAGGCAATGCTGATGCTGCTGGTCCAGGAACCACAGTTTGATGATGTCTAGTATACAGTTGCTGTCTCTCAAACATATGAAGATTAGATTATCAGCCCACTTGAAGCCCATCCTATCTACAGAGCATCAAAAAGATAATTTGTCAGAAATGTGCAAGAATGCTGCTGAAAGGTATGAGAAGGAAGATGAGGGTCTAGAAGCCAGTGGGATGTGATTTTGTGCATATTACATTTCTTCACCAGCAGCAAGGCAAATTTTCAGCTTTCTGTATCCTAACCTTTACCTCCCATGAAAGGCATTCAGCTCTCATCCATCCTCCTTGAGGGTAAAGTGTAAGGTAAAAACAAATACATTTTAAAAAGCAAAAGAACTTGAGCCCTAACTGGACTCTACAACATACCAATTATGTGAATGTAGGTAAATTAGCCTCTGTAAAATTCCTTTCTACCACAAGCTCTGAGGATAATTTTGTGACTATTTCACTTTGTGTTGCATGCTTTACAGCTGTAACTCTAACCACAGGGTGTTATCATGCTCACATCCTGCAAATGTGGTCCCCTTGATACTGGGCATGAAGTGATTAAGCAGAATTTCCTGGGTCTTCTGGTCCCTGGGAGGAGGTTTAATAATATAATACAGGAAATGTGAAAGAATCAGAAAATAGGAGAGCCATCTCAGCTCATTCTGTAAACTGAAAAAGATTCTTCCTCTCCAAATGAATTTTAAATTCTCTTTCTGCTGCTATAGTATACCATAATGCTGCTCCCTGGGTGGGTACTACAGGAGAGGAGGGAGACAGGACAGGGGGTGGGAAGGAAGTCATCACTATTAAACAAGTAGCATGCTCAGGTTAGACCTCAGAGATAAACTAACAAGTAAAGCAGGTAGCCCATTATTGACATGTTAGAGGGAAATGGACATTGATAGGAATCAATTGATTTCTTAAATTCAGTCTCAAACTGTATTCTTAATAAGAACACAAGAAAAGATGAAAATTGTCAATACATTTTATGAAACAAAAAAGGAGACTATTTCAACATGGTACACAGCAAAGCCAAAGATGAATGGGCTCACATAAGAAAGAACCTATAAATCCTCAAAACAAAATTCAGACAAGTGAATATCAGTGCAGGCACATTGTTTAAAGGCTGACCTGGATAGCAGAATTTACAGTTTATCCAAAATGTGCTTGGATTAAATATACATAGAATATACTATAGATAGTTCTCACTGCAGATCAATTCATACTCAAATCCATTGGTCATTTTTGTAACAGAACTTTTAAGATATTATTACATATGTTATGTGTATATGTATATTTATACATGGATATATGTATATGTACTCTATATATATCTATCCATTCTTGGGAAGCTTCTGCTTAATTTTTAAGTATACAACAGGTGGATAAAAATGATCTACTGGTGAGACATTTGGTGAGTCAAGTTATGCAAAAAATATGCACGTTAATTTATAATATATGTAAGTAACTGTGATACCACCCAAAACACGGTTTTTCTTAGATTTCTCTTCCTGCGTTAGGAATGTGGCAAATCCTATCCCCTTTTTTTTTGGCCACAATCTTGATTTTTAAGGATGACCAAATGGCTAAGGATGAAGGAGCTTCTTCCACTTCAGTAATTCAACTATGTTGCCACTTTTCTCATATCCATGATTCCAGGAGCTCTACCTCCTATCCCAGGAAATGGCAGACCACTTCTCTGTGGTATCCACTCTCAAAATTTAGTACAACTACTCATAGAATCTTTTCTAATTTTTCAGGACTGCCAGATCGTACCTTTTTAAATTATTTTCACTTCTTCTCTTTCTTTTCTATCACCTGTTTCAGTTACCATTGCTGTTAAATGATCAATAGTCATTTAGTGGTGTTAAATGATCAATAATAACCATTTTATTATGCTCAAAGAATTTGTGGGCCAAGAATTCAGAATGGGTATATCAAAGCCATCTTGCCTCTGCTCTGCAATGTCTGGGGCCTCAGCTGGAAAGACTCAAATGTGAGGTAATTCAAGGATGGAGACCTAATTTATCCAAAGACTTGTTCATCCATGTGTCTGGTAGTTGATTCTGTCAACTAGGACCAGATGGAGTGGTTGGCATCCAGACCTCTGCATCTGGCTGCTTGGACTTCCTTACAGCATGGAAGCTGGGGTCTAAAAGAGAACATCACAAGAAAACCAGGCAGAAGCTGAATTGCCTTTTCTAAATTCAAGTCACATAGCATTACCTCTGTGGCAGTCATCGAGCCTCCCCATAATGAAGAAGAGGTGATGTGGACTCTACCTCTCAATGGGAAGTATCAGAGCATTGTCACAAGAAGAAATAATGTTGTAGGTGTTATTGGAAAATACATTCTGTCACATCGTCTTTTCCTTTTACCCTGACTCTTCCCCCTACCCCAGGAATCACTTTTGTTTCCATTCATTTCCTTCCTCTCTTCCACTCCTCTCTATAGAACACATTCTTAGTCTATAGATATATGACTGTTCTCTGAAATTCAGCCTGATCTCTACCACACAGTATTTTTAGAAGTAAATAAATGCTTCATCAAAACATCTGACAAATAATAGGCATATGGTACATTTTATTGAAGTATAATTGACATTCAATGAACTGCATATAAAGTAAATAACTTGGTAAGCTTTTATATATTTATATAAACATGTAAGCATCGCCACAATTGAGATAGTGAATATATGACACCCAAAAAAAAGTTTTCTCATGCCACTCTCATCCTATCCTATGCTCTTCAGCCTTAAGCAAGTACTGATATGCTTTTTATCATTATAGTTTTCATTTTCTAGACATGCATACATGTACTTTTTTCTTTTGACCTGGCTTCTTTCTTTTGACCTAGAAATAATTATTTTAAGATTCACCAATGCTATTGTACCAATAATTCATTTTGTTATGTTGTTGAATAACATTTTTGTATAGACATACCACAATTATTTTTCTTTCCTAAATGAATAGACATTTGAGGTTTTTGCAGTGTGGGGCTATAATAAGTAATGCTCCCATGAACATGTATGTGAGTCTTCATATGGATATATATTAACTCTTCTTAGCAAATACCTAGGAGTGGAATGGCTGGATCACAGAGTAGGTATAT